AACAGCAATGCGTTGAAGTCACAAGCCTTTGCGCTCCTTGTCCTGTAACGTCCGTTTGTCTTATTAAGCAAGATTATTAAGATTAATTCAATACCGAATTTCACCAGACAGCTGTAATTTTAATCTGTTCGTATCTTTCTGTCAGTTGTGAGCAGTGGGGGTTTTGCTGTGTAAAAAAAAAAAAATGCCCAAAAAAGGGGGGGGGGGGGGTAAAGTAGCACCACATCTGAACCACACATTGTACGCACTCTCTGCATACAACCCACTTGAGCGTGGTGCTCTGTATGCGGACGTGGCTTAAAACCGTCAGTCTCAGACCGCTTCTCGGCCGGCTGGCAAATTGAAATTTTGGGGACAAAATTTGGGTCCCCCCCCCCCTGTTTTTTGTGTAGTGTGACACCTTGTTAACAAGGGCGGATCCAGTGAGGTCAGAGGTTACTGCCGGGGGGGGGGGGGGGGGAGAGGACTCTCTCAAGTAAAAAATTTGTTGAGAACATTTCGGTCACCCCCTGGATCCGTCGCTGGTGAATACATGTGAAACTGAATAGAATTGTGTTGGGCATCATAATGATCTATGAGAGGATGATCAAAATTTAAAGGAAAAAAAATATCACACTATACATGTAAGCAAGTTTTAGCTGTCCAAGGCACTTAAGATGCTTACAGGACAACATTTGTTCCTTCAACCGAGGTATTTACATATTCAGTAAATTTCCAATGCCTGACCGTAATTTCAATGGTTATAGATTTGAAGATATTGACAAATCAATGCTGTATTGTCACTAACGCTAGCTCCCTAGGCATTTTTGCTTGGATGAAGCCTCAATCCTGCCAAATCCTCCGACTGCCTCCGTGTAAACTTGCAAACGGCCACAATCCTGCAAAATCATTCATTATTTCTTGAATGTGGTTCTTGGAGGGGTGACCACTGCCTCATTCCTTGCAAAATCCTCCAGCAGTCACTGTCAGTATGTTGAGGCAGCTGGAGCCGGCGACATCCTGCAGCATGCAGTGTGGAGGATTTCAAGTGAAATCTAGGCCTAAATTTATGCACAGCTGAGCATAAACAACACGAGGTGCGGCCCAAGACCTTGACACAGTGCATCCTCCATAATCAGCCACACTCTTTGCCATATAGCCTCAATCCTGCAAAATCCTCCATTTTGCAAAGAGGGTTTTGCAGTATTTGGGAAGGTTAGGGTAAACGGACTTGTATATTTTTCTGGAAATAACATGTTTCGCATACTAGGCAACCACTGTATTGTGCTGCAGTCCGATAGCGCGCGCTACTTGTAGGAGAGTGCATATAGTCCCTTGAGTGTGCATTTCAGTCTTACTGGATCCGCGCATTTTATATCCATGTATTTGACCTGCATTTAAGGAATCAGATGCTGTTGACTTAATGTACGAGTCCAACACGCAACAGGGATGTGCTTGGCCAGATGGGTCAGACTGTACACATGTACTATTTTGATGGGTCAGGGAAAGAAATGAAATGCTTGAGGGCCTTCCTACTATTCTGGCCACTGCAGTGTGCTCGGCCAACTGAGTGTATACAAATCCACAAAGGATACTGGATTTTTCATCCTTTTTCCTTGAATTTGTTCTTGTTTGTCACATAAACCAAAATTGAAATTGAAAGTTAAAACAGGATGTGTTTGGCTGGGTTTTTGACACTGTTGCCATTCTAGTCTATTTCTTTATTTGATTGTATTACTGATATCCGGGCACGTGACCACTGTACAGTCACGAGCCCCTCTTCAATGGAGAAGCCATTAAAAATGCGTGCTACTGTACAAACCAAAGTCCGTGACGGATTATACTGAACAACAGCTAGCATTAATACGCCGTAGAAGTGGTTACGTCATACGCCGCTGAGGTCATGCATTGCTTGCCTGGGTTGATGTTCCCATATAAACCTGGACTTTAAGTACATCATTGGCTTTTGCTGTAATTTTCAGAAATAAACTATTTCAGGGGTTGGCATAATAGATCAAATACTGTTACACTGATGTGTTTGAAGGTTTGTGTTCGAAAATGCTGGAAAAACCAAGAAAAACAAAAATGTTCAAGTAGTCTGGTTCCTTGACTCCACTAAAGATAAAATGGATCAATTTATAGATGCCTGAAAATTGTAAGGTAAGGGAACCAGTCTAGCTGGCCTGCACCCGTTCATGAACATGTAACCAAAAGCAAACAAAATTTGGACTGAAAAAACGGTAAATTTTGAGCAGAAGTTGAAAAATAGTTAGGTTTTTCCAACGCTGGTCGGCTGACCACCGTTGGAAATGTATACAAAAATACCATTTTCTTGAAAATGACTTCAAACCAGGTGCCATAAGTTTACAAGATGCTTGAGACTGTCATTTACCAACATCCTAGTAAGGTATTTCGTAAAAGCTTGGTAGTTTTATTTTTTTATGTTTGCAAATGTTGTATATTCCCTTTAAGTAGCGATACGCACGGTGCCCACTTTTCATCGTTTTTTTGTTTATTCACGGGAAAAGAAAAATAACGGAAAGCAGTCACGTTCGGAGTGATAATAAGTCAGCTACGAAGCACTGTCCTATATTCCAGTATTATTTATTCTTCATGTTTGAGAAATTTAGTAGAAAATGCTCACCTAATTCGCCCGTACAAATCCTATGGTAAAAAATGGCAGACAAGCCATTGTTTGGAATGAACACTATTGGAGACAACCTCAAGTGACATCTCACTTCTACGGCGCATGCTCACGCCATTGAAGGAGCCTTCGTGATACAATTGATAGCAATCCCGGATCGGTCTAATATTGATTTCTGTAACTGAAATTTCCTTCCGGGGTTTTCTCTGAATTCCAAGCTGAAACCTGAGGAGAAATGTGCTTGGACACTGATCAGAACATCTCCCAGGAGAAATTTATACATGTACATTATAATACAATAAAGCATCTAACATTGATACAATATAAAAGTACCATTATTACTTCCCACTTGTGCTAAACTGCACGTACATGTAGGCCTACATGTTCTATCGCACACGTACACATCACACATATACTCGGTTGATATTTGATCTTAAAATAGCTCTATCATCACTGCCTTTAACATTCACATAATATACAGTACCTGCCGTAGTATCTGTTTAGCAATCAGTGATGGAGAAACTGGGTGTAATATATGAACAGTATATGAAAAGACAGTGTGATATGTACAAATTGTGCATCATATAAGGCAGTGAAGCGTATTGAATACATTGTAATACAGTGTATATACATAAGAAGACTGTGAAGAGGATACAATGTAGTACAATGTATATAATAACTCAGAGAAGTGTGTACAATGTAATACATGGAATATAATAACATCATGAAGAGTATACAATGTAATACAAAGTATATTAAGGCAGTGAAAAAAATATCTACAATATGCATAGATCCTGGTCAACATAATTAGCCATTCGTCGCAGATGATATGATTGGAACAAATGGTGTTCTGTCATCCTATTACGCTTGGCAGTGTAGCTTCACGTCATTCCGTAACCGGAGAGACTCGATGAAAAACAAGTGATCAGATTTAAACAAGTGCCCTCGGGGTTCATTTTATTTTGCCTTGATTGAAACTTGTTTGATTCAAAGATTGAGACTCATGTACATGTGTACATGTAGACTCATAACTTTATATTGTGGAAACACAACTTGCCTGGTCTTAAATGTTCATAAAAGGTTGTAATTTTTTAATGTACATACAGTTGTAATTTTTAATGTACATACAGTTTGTACATTGTAGGTCGAACGTAGAGCTATATTAAATAACTACCCGGTAGAACGCTGATTCGATGTACAAATTGATGCCTGCTGGGCGCATCCATGTTTGTGCGTAAACCTATGGAAAACTTGAAATTTGTACGGCTTTTGTACGGCTGTTTGCATATCTGCGTTTGTATTATAATACAGGTGCGTTATCGAGGCCGATACGCCCAAAACCGAAACGCGCAATCAGTAAATGAGCGTTTCATTTTGCTCTGTGCAAACAATGCAAACGTATGCATGTATCCGGATGATTTTTGCCATGACGTTTTTTGAACCGTCATGATGTGCTTAAGTTGTTTGCGTACGTTCTACTTGCGCATTGCATTTAGAGTACACTTTCAAAATTCACTCCATCTAATTTCATTATGTTCAACAAACACGCGACATGAATTCAAAATATCTGCGCGCAGGAAGGATTCAAAGTATCTCCACACATAAGAATGAGAAGTTAGCGCTCTAGTAATTTAATATAGCGCTATGAACTCCAAGAGAATGAACTCCAACAATAGCAGCACCTTTAGAAGCTTTATATAACTATATGGATGGTGGAATAGAATCAGCTTGATACTCTTTGAATTTGAGCAGCTTGTTTAAAGTTTTCATTTCAAATTTGCCATTTATTACCCAAACTTCCCAAAATCAGTCCTTCTGATTTGAGGCGTGCGATCGCACCCCCACGCCATCGCACGCCTAAAAGCTTCCCGAGAAGTATGAATAATTGCACGCCTGAATTCCCTAGACCACAGAATCACACACCTGGCAAATCACACAACTAGAAAAATCACACGCCTGGAAAAATCCAGGTGTGCCTTTTCCACACGCCTGTGATTTTCAAATCAGAAGGACTGCAAAATATGTCAAAATCTCAATCCTCACCCACTTTTGTGCTTTTGGCTTGCAACAACACACATGTTGTGTTAGATCTTTTGTGAATTCAGAAAGATTCAGGAAATTTTGGGGTTTTTTTTAGTTGGTATCTGAGAAATGGGGGGGGGGGGTGTCACAAAGCATAGTGAACTGAAATGTAAATTTGCCACTACGTATAAGTATTGAAACCCATTGGCGTGGGGGATGCTATTTTAAAACTGTATTAAACTCACTGGGATTCTGTACCAAGCATGAAATGCATGGACCAACACTGAAGTAGCGAAGACAGATCAAAAAGATCACAAGTTCATATGCATATTGTTACACTTCCTGTTTTCCGCAGTTAAATACTTACGGGAGGTGACGCCCTACTTCCGTCGAAGCACCGTCATCGGGGAAGTGGGCTGGGACACGCCTTCCCCCTACGTCATCAAGGAACCGGGCGCCAACCCCCGAGCCACCCGTAACAACTTCACGGAGATGCGAACCATCCCGCTCAAGCTGTGCTACGTGACGTCCAACCTGACCGTCAACGACCCGGAGCACCGGACCATCGAGTTGCACTCGCCGGACAGCCGAAGCTCGTGCATTCTGCGCTGCAAGGACGCCACCAGCGCCAGTGAATGGTTCAGCGCCTTGCAAGTAAGAATGTTGTTCAAGATTAGACATGGATTTTTTTCCTCCTGGACCCAATTTCATGGCTGTGCTAACCACAGAATTTGACGCTTACGCTCACCATTTTGTGTTAACCGCGCTAGCAGAAACATTCCGTGCTAATTACCCTGTAAGCACAGAATTCTTAGTTACGGGATGTACGCATGCGCAGAAGCAAAAACTCCTCGCTAACCTGCGAATCATGCTAACTGTAAGCACAGCATTTTCTGCTACAGTAAGCAGGGAATTTTCACTAACGGTAAGCAGCGCCATGAAATTGGGCCCTGGCAAGCGCAGTCAAGCCACTGCGCCAATAGGGGGCGCTATCAATGAGATGAATCAACCCAGTCTTGGCTATACTGGCACTGAGACCCGAGTTCAGGGGTGAACTATAGGTAACCACAGTTCGACTAACTTCGCTCGAACGACGGATAGTTGGACTACTCTAGTCGACTATTTGGAACCAGAGCGTGGGGCCATTGCTGGTAACCAATATCTGCGGGCATCATAAAGCACAACGGGAGCCAGGACTGTTGACCATTGTTTGACTAGAGGCCTTTGCGCGTTGCTATTACTGCGCAGGGTAAGATACTGTACGTCACAAATCAACTCCAACGGTTCTCGCCCGAATTTGCTATCACTTGTCAGGGATTGGCCAGCCTGTGTTAGTCCATTACAAGTGTTGGTCACGAGTCTTGTCACAAGTAAATCACAAGTCAATTCACAAGCAACATGGGATGAAAAAATAACAAAGGAATGTCTTTTGTCAAACAGTTCATTTGAATATCTTATGACTTGAGTCGGGATGGGATGACAAACTTACTACACTGCTCTTAATACTCTGTAAATTTATTTTTAAGTTGAACAAAGAAATTGACTGGAGCAGGGTTTGAACCTGCGACCTCCGGATTGCCGTTCCGGTGCTCTACCAACTGAGCTATCCAACCCTATGTTGGCGGTTCCCCAGTTTGTCATTTCTTTGGTTAAGGGCGCTTTACATGAACATATGCCACTAGCCAGGTATCACACCTTAAGTCACGATGCTAGCAACATTAGCAATGCTGCAAACCTGGGAAATAGCAAATGGGGATCACTCAGAGAGCGTTGTAAATTAAAGGGAATATACAACATTTGCAAACATTGGAAAACAAAACTACCAAATTTTTACGAAATATCTTACTAGGATGTTAGTACATGAAAGTCTGAAGCATCCTGTAAAATTATGGCACCTGGTGTGAAGTCATTTCCAAGAAAAGTGGTATTTTGTATAAATTTCCAACAGTGGTCGGCCGACCACCGTTGGAAAAACCTAACTATTTTTCAACTACTGCTCCAAATTACCCTTTTTTCAGTCCAAATTTTGTTTGCTATTGGTTCCATGTTCATGAACGGGTGCAGACCAGCTAGATTGGTTTCCTTATATACCTTACAATTTTCCGGCATCTATAAATTGATGCATTTTATCTTTAGTGGAGTCAGGGAACCAGACTACTCCACCATTTGTGTTTTTCTTGGTTTTCCAGCATTTTCGAACACAAAACTTCAAGCACATCAGTGGAACAATATTTGATCTATCATAGTAACCCCTCAAATAGTTCATTTCTGAGAATTACAGCAAAAACCAATGATGTACATTCCCTTTAAACAATGATTTTCCTTTTGTTTCTTGCAGGCCAACGTGTCGCTACTGACCATCCAGGCCATCGCCGAGGCCAACGATATCCTACGGGCCATGCCAGGCAGCCGGGAGATCAAGCACATGGGCTGGGTCTGTGAGCAGGTACTAGTCAAAGAAATGGTAAATATGACAAGCGCAGTGATGGAACCGCGCTCTGTTTGCGTATTGACACCCACAACTGTGTGCACGCTGACTGGGCAGTGGACGGGTCGCTAGACCTTAATTGGTGGATCGCAAATCGTGAGAATATATAGACCAATGTATCAGAAAAAAATGTATCAAACCTCATCAACTGGGTTCAATATTTGCACTAGTTTGCATCAGTTACAGACTTAAAGGGAAGATGCAACATTTGCAAACATCACAAAATGAAATGATAATATTATCACAAAACACCTTACTGGATTGTTAGAGAATGACAGTCTAAAGCATCCTGAAAATCGTGGCTCCTGGTGTGCTTTCATTTTCAAGAAAACTGGTATTTTTCCAACGCTGGTCGGACGACCAGCATTGGAGAAACTGGGTTTTTTTCTCAAAAGCTGCTCCTCCATTTTATTAATTAGTTATTCTGCATTATTTTGCAATTGATATTACACAACTTTGAAGGGGTACAAGCCTGCTACACTGTTCTCTGACCTTACAATTCCCCTAAGGCTATAAAGTCTCCGTTTCATCTAAAGCTGGGTCAGGGAACCAGACTACAAGAACATAAATGGTTTTCTTGGTTTTTCCAGCAACTACAAGCCCAAAACGTGAAACAAGTCATTTAACAATATTTGCTAAATTAACATACTCCTCCAAATCCATTTATTTCTGAAAATTGCAGCAAAAACAAATGTTGTACATTCCCTTTAAAAACAGAGATGAAACATTTTAAGTAAAGCTGGTGGGTGTCAACGCACAGTAAGCAAATAATAATAAATTTCATTCCTCTTTGAACACACTGGCTATACTTGCTAAGAAATTTGCTGAAACTGTCAAGTAATTTCCAGTGCTGGGCAGTGCCTCATTCTTTACAAAGTTTCTAACATCAAGCAAACAATGCCTAGCTCTACAGTCTTAAATTTATTCAAATGCAGAACTCTCAGATTTGGAGGAATGAGTTGAACTCATGCATTTATGTCAAGAGTTTATGAGTAAATGTGAGAGACTGGAGACTGGAATATACCAAGCTGTCCTTTGCTTTCTCAGTTATTTAACAGAAGTTTCAAAAATATGGATAAACTGTTACCCTGATATTATTTTCATGTCACTACCCCTACCAACCTTTTCTGCACACAAACAATGCAACTCTAGTTGCATCGCTAATTGCATGTATTTTCAAGTGACAGGCAAGACTTCTATAATAAAGCGCAGAGAATGACTCTTTTAACTGATTGGTCCTTGTACTGTCCCAAACTGCTCTGCCTGTTACTCCCTATATAGCCCAAAACTGCCCCATCACTCTATAGTTGTATGAATTCATCAGCGATTAAATACAGTGTAATACAATGTACTACAGATGCTAATGGTTTCATCATCAAATCACCAAATTTCTCTGCAGAGCAACACAGAATCTGGTGGCTCAGCGTGGAAGCCGGTCTTCGTCGCCATCACAGACAAAGACATATTGATGTACGACAGCGTTCCCTTCACCAGAGAGGAGTGGGGGAAGGCGTTTTTGGTCCACGGACTTCTCGCAACGAGGTACAGAAACGAAAAAGTTGAGAATCATAAAAATGAAAATGTGCTCTTTCATGTGCATGGATAAGCTAGCTCTAAATGTATAGTTAGAACTTAAATAATCCACAAACGGCATCTGACTGATCCACAAACGGCATCTGACTGATCCACAAACGGCATCTGACTGATCCACAAACGGCATCTGACTGATCCACAAACGGCATCTGACGATAATCCATAAATGCCATTTGACTGATCCACAAACGGCATCTGACTGATCCACAAACGGCATCTGACTGATCCACAAACGGCATCTGACTGATCCACAAACGGCATCTGACTGATCCACAAACGGCATCTGACTGATCCACAAACGGCATCTGACTGATCCACAAACGGCATCTGACTGATCCACAAACGGCATCTGACTGATCCACAAACGGCATCTGACTGATCCACAAATGGTATCTGACTGACGATGATCCACAAACGGAAATTGGAAAGCTCAGTTGGTAGAGCACCGGAACTGCAATCCGGACATCGCAGGTTCAAACCCCGCTCCAGTCAATTTCTTCGTTCAACTTTGAAAAAAAATTAAGTTAGAATTCATTAGATCATTAATGAATCCTCCTAGATGCAAACATACACTCTGTACAAAGTTGTCCTTTCAGTCAAAATCAGTCAAGTGACTGCTTTCGACAGTTAAGAGCTCTCAGCCTACAGAAAGCAGGATTGACTGGCTGTGACTGTTTATGTAACTTGACACAGCTATGGTTTGACTGTTGGTGATTGATAAGCCAGCTGTGCCAACCACTTGCCTGCTTTTGTCTGTTGACTGAATCTGACTACTAGCAGTGCTTGCTTGACATACGATCTGACTGTTGGTGACTAGCCTGTGTAAAAGGCACAGCAGGGGAGAGGATTTAATTTTTTTTGACTGTCTGTGACTGTTCAAACAGCAGGAGGGTTAATAATATAAAAGTAAAAGCATTGCTAGGATTACTAACATGACAACCCTCTTTGCGATCTTGCCAAAATCATCTTCCCCAGCTTTCAGAACCGAAAGAGTCTTATTTTCATTAGGGACATAGAGTTGCGGTCACACAGCATTGCGAAGATTAAAAATTTCTCCCCAACGGGGCGTAGAGGGACAGGTTTAGTTCCCTCGTTCCTCTCCGATTGATTAGCGAAGAAAGCGTGCGGTGATGATTGGATAAGGCCAGATGCGTGTGTTAATTATTTTTATTATTTCATCTATCCCTGAAGCGTTTTCAGAATGTAGTGAAGCATATTGCATTTTTCTGCAATGCCTAAGCTTCAAGGGGAGGTTGGAATTACAATTTTTGGAGGTGTGTCTTGAACAACCATTAAAAACATTTTAATGTTTTTTTGCAATTTTTATCAGTCTTTACACTTTTTATCAGTTTTTACATTAAGAGTACAACTTCTTTGTAACATTTACACATTTATACCTTAAAATGAATCCAATCCTACTTCGGAGAGCGCATTTAATGAAATTTGACATCAGTTATAGGGTTTTCCTGAAAATCATCCTTGAATAATGAAAGATTGAGTGCTCAGTATGGTTGGGTGTAGCCCCATAAATGTGGCCTATTTACTGGACTGCCTCCGTAAACATAGGCCACACATCCACATGTACAAAAACGTGTCGACTTTGCCAAATTTTGATTTTCACATTTAGGCTTACTTTGTAGGTTTTTTTTGCTTTAGAAGCATTCTCACCCTCTATATAGGCTAATCAGAAAGTGCTGCCTTTTTCAGATGTCCATTTTTCGTGAAATTTCCAGATACATTTGCACACGTTTGCGTATCAAAATTTCAACATGAAATTTCACAAAAATTAGACATCTGAAAAAGGCAGCACTTTCTGATTAGCCTATATAGAGGGTGAGAATGCTTCTAAAGCAAAAAAAAACTTCAAAGTAAGCCTAAATGTGAAAATCAAAATTTGGCAAAGTCGACACGTTTTTGTACATGTGGATGTGTGGCCTATGTTTACGGAGGCAGTCCAGTAAATAGGCCACATTTATGGGGCTAGGTTGGGTGCTACTGTCAAAATTGTATCTCTGAAACAGAGAAAATCTCTTGAGAACATACTGTACACTTCTGAAAAGAAAAGAATCTTCTTCGCATTTCTGGATGGAGTTCTAGTCATTGGAGTACTGAGTGTCCTAATTTAGCTTATCCATGGCCAGCTGAACGGCAAACGACGATTGACTGGTTTACAATAGCCGTATCGTCCTTCTCGGTTGAATAAAGGGGTTGAAATGGATACCCTCAATGCAGATTGTTCTGTATGCGGAACCTTTGGGGGCTTGTCTATTGCTGTTGAAACGTGATCCGTTTGAATCAATGGGTTCTTATCTTTCCAACGGAACAAATCAGAGTCTAATAAATAAGTTAGTTTGAAACAAAAAGTAGAAAGCAGTAGTCCTTTGAAGTTTAAAGTGGGCTTTGTAGTGTAACTGCTTATCAGGATATTTTGGGGTTGGAGGTATTTTTTCTTGAAAACCTATCAAAACGTTATAGTCAATTGGAAGGAATACAACAGTTTGAAAATGGAAGACAATTGACAAGTAATGAAAAATACATGTAACGATAAAAAATTATCGTTGATGCTATTGCACTGTATTCTAGACTTTCTGCAGGACCTCGATCAGGATTTAGCACCAACTACATGTCACATAATCACAGTGACTTTCTTAAATTTGCACGTACTAAAGGGAAAATACAACATTTGCAAACATCAAAAAATAAAACTACCAAATCATTTTGAAATACCTTGCTGGACTGTTAGTGAATGACAGTGTAAAGCATCCTGTAAAATCATGGCACCTGGTATACTGTCATTTTCAAGAAAAGTGGTATTTTTGTATTAATTTCCAACGCTGGTCGGCCGACCAGCGTTGGAAAAAAACTGGCTTTTTTTCAAATACTGGCCCCAGTTGACCATCACACTTGTTTACAACCAATTACACACCTATGAACGGGTACAAGCCAGCTAGACTGGTTCCCTGACCTTACAATTCCCCAATGTATTTAAACTGCTCTGTTTCTTCTTATATGGAGTCAGGGAACCAGACTACAGGAAAATGATTGTTTTTCTTGGTTTTTATAGCATTTTCGAACCCAAAACCTCAAAAAAGTCAGTGTAACTGTATTTGCTATATATTTCCAACCCCCCAATTCCATCCATTTCTGAAAATTACAGCAAAAGCAAATGATGTATTTTCCCTTTAATTGAGTATTGCCTAGGGACGTGCAATGAAAAATGGTTCCACATGGGCACTCTGACAGTGACAAAACAGACACGTAAATGAGTCGTCACATCTGATTGGATCATAAATTAAGTGTGCGAGGGTTTGCTGTTATCTGTCAACCTGGACACAGATGTATCACAAGAGGAGAGTGATTTGTCAAACGCTGACAGGAACGGGTAAACTGAGATAATTATTGCACGGGACTCAAAATCAGGTGATAACTTTGAGAGATGACTTTGTAATCTTTCATTTTTGGGACAGATGTTCAGGAAAATGATTTGACTGTCCTGTTCTCCAGGGGGAGAAATTCTAGGCTTCATCCTAAGTGTGACTTTGTCTTGTAATTACCTCCGCCAAGGAGGTTATGTTTTCATCGGATTTAGTTAGTTTGTTGGTTGGTTGGTTTGTCTGTTAAAGGGAATATACATCATTTGCTTTTGCTGTAATTTTTAGAAATGGATGGAATTGGGGGGTTGGAAATATATAGCAAATATAGTTACACTGACTTTTTTGAGGTTTTGGGTTCGAAAATGCTATAAAAACCAAGAAAAACAATCATTTTCCTGTAGTCTGGTTCCCTGACTCCATATAATAAGAAACAGAGCAGTTTACATACATTGGGGAATTGTAAGGTCAGGGAACCAGTCTAGCTGGCTTGTACCCGTTCATAGGTGTGTAATTGATTGCAAACAAGTGCGATGGTCAACTGGGGCCAGTATTTGAAAAAAAGCCAGTTTTTTCCAACGCTGATCGGCCGATCAGCGTTGGAAATTGATACAAAAATACCACTTTTCTTGAAAATGACAGTATACCAGGTGCCATGATTTTACAGGATGCTTTACACTGTCATTCACTAACAGTCCAGCAAGGTATTTCAAAATGATTTGGTAGTTTTATTTTTTGATGTTTGCAAATGTTGTATTTTCCCTTTAACAAGATAACACACAAAAAACCAGAAAAGTTATGGACGGATTTACATGAAATTTTTGTTAGGGGTTGTCCTTGGTACAAGTACAAATCGATTAGATTTTGGAAGTGTTACCGGATCTGGGTCTGGATGCAGGATTTTTTGAAGGAATCTTCACCTTTTATGAGATTATTTCTTTTGGGTGTACTGACAATATGGCGAGGAATTGTTTAGCCTTGGCGGAGTGCTTTCTTGTACATGTGTCTATGGAACAGGCTGTAGCCAGTCTAAACCCATGCAAATTAGTTGAACTTGCGAACATGAGAAACACGATTCAGTTTTGAAAGCAGTATTAATGTGAAGAGGAAGGTAGAAAACTGAATTGACTGAAAATGGAGAAATTTTTTTTTATAGAAATCAGCAAAATGTAGTCACCAAATGTCTAATATCTGGATGGCTCTAAGCGATTCTCCTAAAAAATTACGTCAAACTTCTATCAACCCTAACCCCATTAAGGTTGTGTGTAGTCACTGTAGTCTATTCAACTGAATACCCCCCCCCCCCCCAAAAAAGTTCAAGTATAGCTTGCTGAAAAAAAATCAACGGCTAGGTTTTTTTTTTTTTTTAGTGCCACAAAACAAACGTTCTTGGATCGCCTGCAAAAATAAAGACAATGTTTATGTTTGTGCGTTCCGGAAACAAACTCCCCCGAAGGCTGAGGTTGTTTGATAATCCTATGCAATGACATCATTTGTCATATGTCTGTCAAATTTGTTTATAGTTTTGTTCACAGCTATGCCAGCTGTCAAAGTAGATGTTGCTTGGGTGCTTTAAACTTTTAAAGCTCTGTAAAAGGAAGAAGAATATTTCAAAAGTTCACTATTTTTGTGGAAATAGATAATTTTTGGATTAACATATCGCCCTGTGTGGTAGCGATATCCGAAACATGGTTGAAAGATGTTCAAGATCCCTTGGTTCAAATGAAATATTACCCACTTGAAGGTATATGTAGATATATGTCAGTTTCTTATGTCGTTGATTGCTTGTTGTATTTTTTTTTATAATGTTCCTTTCATCAGAGGAAACAAATGTTTAGAATAATTTTGAAATTGATGGATTTCAAAACATTTTGAAATAATTAAAAATGATTTTCTTAAGAACAAGTCAGTAAATGTTCTGAGATGATTGAGTTTTCTTGCCTTCACTGTTGATGCTAACGAGTTGAAATCTGGTGTTGTTCACTCTGTGTTATGCAGGCTTGACTTTAATATGCCAAACTCAGCCCAATTTCATTAAGGATGCTCTTCAGATAAAAAAGTCTTTCAGATTAGTCATATAGACATGAAATGCGGCACTTACAGCGAGCATACGTGTGGTCTAATGGTGGAGCACAGGATTCATGATCGCGAGGTTGTGGGTTCGAGCCCCGCTGTGGCCATGCGTGTTGTGCCCTTGAGTAAGGCGCTTTACCTCAATAACTCCTCTCAACCAAGGTGTTAAATGGGTACCGGCATTATTCAATGCTGGGAAGGTAACAGACTCGCTGTGGAGGAGGTGTGGCGATCCCCCCTACAACAGCATATGAGTCTGGCCCAATCGTTAACCATAGAGAGATGTGCACTCCGTTCCTGTTAACACAGGTTCGTCCACTTTTACAGAGAGCATACAGTTCAGGGTGCTTCAAGTTTTTCATATTTTTTCAGCAATCACAAATCCTTGGAGTCTTGTACAGAATATGCTTGGTTACAAGCAAACTAAGCAATCTTTTCTGTTGAAGTAGGTAATTGTAAAAAAAAAAAAAAAAAAAAAAAATGAAGGCTTTATAAATTGTAACAGGGCAACAAATAGCAGTATCAAATTTGAATGAACCACTTGTGGAGAACACAGATATTTGTTTGAATAGCTGTTCATTCTTTATGAAAATTGGATTTGATTTGTGTCCCGATTCCAGACTCTTGTACTCAGGGAGCCCTAAAGGCCTTGGCCCGCGTCACCAGGTAGAACTGACGTTCGGTACGCGGACGGGGACCCGCAACGGCATCGAGGCCCATCTCTTCAGGGTGGACACGAGGCGAGACCTGGGGGCCTGGACGCGCCACCTCGTGCAGGGATCCCACAATGCAGCAGTGCTGGTCAAGGAAATCGTGTGTGGTAAGTAAAAGGCTACTTCTTGTTTTCGGGGAGGGGTGTTCAAGGGGTAGTTCGTGGGAGGGCCGCGGTCCAGCAGGACTTCTCTTGTCACTTAAAACAAACATTTAAACTTGCTGAATGGTAGATAAAACTGTGCCTTGATAAATACTTATTCATAAACAAACACAATCTTTCCGCTCCTAATTGTGCAGCATCATACCTATACATTTAGTCAGTCTTTGATGGTGGCGTTTCGAGTTTGTCGCAAGTTCTCACAAGTCCATCCCAAGTCCTTCAATCTCAAGTCAAGTCGCAAGCTATTCAAATGCACTGTGACAGAAGTCACAGAAGCATTCCTTTGTCTTTGTTCTGCCCCTGTTACTTGTGACTGGACTTGTGGTTTTCTTTTTGACCGGTCTCATGATCAAGTGTTGTAGTCGAGTCCATCACAAGTCAGGCCACAGGAAAATCACAAGTCCATTCACAAGTCCAGTCACAAGTAACAGTGGATGAACAATAACAAAGAAATGCCTTTTGTTTAAGCTCGTTGGAATGGCTTGTGAGTTGACTTGGGACCGGAGGACTTGTTATGGAAAGGAAAGGACTTGCAAGCTTGCAGGAAGGCTTGTTGCAGGTTTGCACGGTTCCAAATATGTAAATTCAGGTAAGTTTGCCAGCGAGCTTTCAGCAAGCTTGCCGCAAGCTCCCAGACAAGCTTGCCGCAAGCTCCCAGACAAGCTTGCCGCAAGCTCCCAGACAAGCTTGCCGCAAGCTCCCAGACAAGCTTGCCGCAAGCTCCCAGACAAGCTTGCCGCAAGCTCACAGACAAGCTTGCCGCAAGCTCCCAGAAAAGCTTGCCGCAAGCTCCCAGAAAAGCTTGCCGCAAGCTCCCAGACAAGCTTGCCGCAAGCTCCCAGACAAGCTTGCCGCAAGCTCACAGACAAGCTTGCCGCAAGCTCACAGACAAGCTTGCCGCAAGCTCACAGACAAGCTTGCCGCAAGCTCACAGACAAGCTTGCCGCAAGCTCACAGACAAGCTTGCCGCAAGCTTCCAGACAAGCTTGCCGCAAGCTCACAGACAAGCTTGCCGCAAGCTCACAGACAAGCTTGCCGTAAGCTCACAGACAAGCTTGCCGCAAGCTTGCACACTCCAAGTGTGTAAATTTGGGCAGGCAGGCAAGCTTGTAGCAAGCTTGCAGGCTTGTACAAGCTTGCCGCAGGCTTGCAAGTACATGCACAAGCTTACCACAAGCTTGCAAGAACATGTGCAAGCAACATGTGCAAGCTTGCCTCAACATGTGCAAGCTTGCCTCATACCTGTGCAAGCGTTACAAGCCTGCAAGATTATTTGCTTGCAGCTAGACTGCATGCAAAAGTTCCAACTCACGCAAGCTTATTAAGCTTGCTGCAATCTAGTTACCAGCTTAATACAAGTTAGCGGCAAGCTTACTTTTCTGTCAGGATGGACTCTTTAATGAGTCCTTACAAAATCTGGATTTTACTAAAACTCCTTTTGCTTTTTTTTTTTTTTTACCACAACTCGGCAGCTGTGACGTGGCAAGGCAAAGAGGCCAAACTCACCATCCACTACGAGAATGGATTCACGCTTACCAGCAACCCACAGGAGGGCCAGAACAGCAGTAGTAAAAGCGAGGTCTACTGGGTCTACCCTTACGAGAAACTCCGGTATTCGTCCGACGACGGCAAGAGACTTATGTGGCTCGATTTCGGGGCCGGAGAAGGAGAATTTGTAAGTGTGGTTCACATCCAGTCAGAGTTTTTTTTTTGCCATAATTGGCGCTAAATTTCACAGTACTGCTCAAGAAATGTTTCTTTGCTTTGCACTTAGCATGTCTCACAGATTCTTCATTTCACAGTGCTCAAAGTGATTAGCGAGGAAAACGTAGCCCCGCAGCATCATCCTTGTGCTTAAGCAACGTCTTATACCATTCAAAACGGGGGCAATCCTTCAGAGAGAGAGCACCACAGTTGTAATAAAGAAGTAATCCTGTACTAAGTTGGAACAGGGGACATTTTCATCAGCAAAATTTGCGTCAACAAACCAAGGTTAAAGACGCAAATGCAGTTGCGCTGAGTACTTTGAATGAGTAGGAATATACAAGTATTTGGACGCATCACTGATATGGAAGAAATGCACAAATATTGTCAAGAAGATTCAGACTCCAGTCCATTCTGATTTTCTTTGTGACTTTCTTGTAAATTTTCAGCACACCTAGCTCTTTCACCCAATTCTCAAATTCTTCCTCTAAAGCCAATAGCATACCTACGTTCGGACAACTCTGTTGAGTTTCTTAACTTTAATTCTTACTTTTCAAGCTTATATTTGGTATATATGTTTTCCCACTTCGGAAAAGGACCAGCACCCGATTTCACGAAGCGCTGCGATGCGTCGTAACTCGAGTTACGACGTGTAACACATCGCAACTTGCGACGCGTCGTACCGGTATCTTCCATTTCACGAAAGTTGCGATGTGTTGAACGCGTCGTAAGTTCCTTGACAACGGCTTAAAACACGTCGCAAGTTACAACGTGTCTAGTGGTCATCGCAAAATAAGAAGAGTCCCTTTCTCAGCCAGTTTTGGGCCATAAACATTACATTAACGAGATTATAATACCAAGGCAACGTGTGTAAAGTTGTAAATAGTAAACTCATTGAATAATCATGAATTAGACTGGAGTATTGCAATTGAAATTTCAAAGTAGCTATACAGTCCACTGAGAGCTTGTTTTCCTTCAAAATTGCATCGCACGACCGCCATTTTGTTTTACATTTTAACAAATTTTGAGCGGAGATCCGACGACTCTTTGTTGAATATCAGATGACTATTTACTGTACGTTGACTTAATACATAAAACAGTCACCGAGTTGTGCTATAAATACACCTACGACGCGTCGCACTTACGACTTGTTTCGTGAAATGGATCGCAGGACGCGTCGCAGCTGCGACGCATCGTAGGGATACGATGCGTCGCAGCGCTGCGATGCATCGTAAGTTACGATGAGTTTTGTGAAATCGGGTGCAGGCTACAACACACTGACAGTCACTGCCACCATTTTTGTGAATCAAAAGTTCCATACTTTCTGAGAGTGCACCTTCAATATGCATTTTTGTAACTCTTTTCTTGCTCCTTTTTTTCACCACTTTCAGGAATTGGACCTTCACACTTGCCCCAAGCCCATCGTTTTTATCATCCACACCTTCCTCAGTGCCAAAGTCACACGGATGGGACTCTTTGCATGATGGGATACACGCCCTGCATTCTGGGATATATGCCTTGGTGTCGGAGATTTGCAAGGGATTGCGGGTCATGCCCCTCGGGTCAAAGGGCAAGGGTCATTTGCACCAGTACTGGTGGGAAGGAGCTCAGATTCACTGGATAACGGAAGGCAGCATTTATTATGGTTGTACGCGCAGTTGTTCTTTCGCGGGTTGTGAGCACGCCCCATAGATTCCGCGTCGCAATGCATTGTGGGATAGTCACACTGCGTAGCGGGATCCCCTCTCTGAACCCTGACTTAATCGTGGTACGCCAAAAGAAAAAATCACCGTTTGAAGATTAATCTGATCGGAAAAAAAAGTGAAGACTGCAAGCATGAAGAAAGTTAGTTATTGGGTGTAGCCCTGTATTCCAGATATAACATTCTGAACCACAGCATCTACCTAACAGTGTAGGTAGCATTTGTAAGTTACACTCACAATACCAGAATCACTTGTATTTAAATAGCCCCAAACCAGACCTTGTACAGCATTTTTTTTTTTTATTATCTGGCTGGTTTAAAGTTGGTAGTCGATTGAATTGTAACTGCTTGGTCAATAGTGTTCGCAAAGTATTTTTCCAACTCAAAACAAGTTGGTGATCCAGTGATGGACCTAGGGGGATGCGAAGGGTGCACCCGATCCCCCTCTTCCCAGCAGTGATCGAAATGTTCTCAAGTAAGGCCATTTGTCACTTGAGAGAGCACTTCTGCCTGCCCCCCCCCCCCCCCCCCCCGGCACCCCCCCCGCCCCCCACTAGTAGTAGGAACCGCCCTTGTGATCAACTCAGAAATACCAGTAAAAAAATCGACCAATGCATGTATTAGAGTTGTTGCATGTCGGGATAATAAGATAATAATGACGTTTTGGATAGAATTTTGGTTTTGGCAAAGTGCACGCGTGGCTTTTTTTAACATTACGTGAAAAGGCTCTTAAAGAACCAATAGAAATTGTCCTACATTGTTAGGCCCTTGTGGATTGAACGCCTCTAATTCGCCTTGTTTCTCTCTACTGTGAAGTATGAACTAAAGTCAAAACTGAATCAAAGTCTTGCCACATTTTGATACATTTTTCTTATTGCTTCATACGTTTGCTGTCAAAGTCTCATTCTGTACCCTCCTGGGAATTTTGTTATTTTAAACTAAAAAGTTGAAAATTGGAATTGGCTCGTTGAGATAGTTACCCAATCAAAAGTTAGGAAAGATCTATGCAAATTAGGCATTGCTGTGTGTTACTATTGGCTGTGCATGACTAATTTAAATAACTTTCCTTTTGTTGGTTCGTTTCCAAATGGATGAATTTATTTATGCTGAGATTACTCGGCAAATAAAATTGTGCCCCTTTAAAAAAAGTGTCTTCAACAAAGAGTTTGAACCCAGAGCATTTTTCTGACCAAATTCAACATTAATTTTTTTCCAGCTCAGGTGCATGTGAATTATGAATAAACATTATGCAAATGAGGGCATTGGATGTTCACATTGGCTAAAAATACAAAGCTTATTTAAATACTTGATAGTTTGATGTTAATTGGGGCACAAGACTCAAAATGTGAATTACAAGTTATCAAACCTTTGGCTACCTCAACTGATAACTTTAAACACATTTTTTTTTGGGTACATATTACATTTCATTGTACCTTAATTTAGCGCTTTTAATACACACCATCAGTATTTTCTGATGTAACATTTTGAAAGGGGACCATTCAAAATTGAGTTTGGAAGAGCAGTTTGGTTATATTTGTATTTACCAAAATTTTACGAGGCATTTATGTTAGCACATGTGAGTTTAGGCGTAAATCCTCCCAAAACCACCCAAACCTCACAAAGTTTTTAAATATTTGAATGGATTGGATTTAGGATCAAAGGGTTGTGGACATCGCTAGAGAGGGTGGGGGTCCGACCCTCCCCCCCCCCCCCCCATTGTTCTGCAAAATCATTGTCTTGTCGGCAAAATCGTGTGTCCAACGGCAAATGTGCTGCAACAAATAACACCATCTATTGTCTGGCAGGGTTAAAATATTTCACTTAAAACTTGTGCAGCACTGTCGTCCAATGGTAATGGCGTTCGACTCACGCCGTGGTACGTGGGTTCGAACCTTGACAGGGAACATGCTGCTAGTGTCTTGGGCAAGACACTTTACTACAGTGGCCTCTCTCCACCCAGGAGTATAAATGGGTACCTGTGAGGGAGCTGGTCTCGAACTTCTGCAAAAACTGGTCTCATTGCCTGATGCACAGGGGTAATATTTGTGAAGTGCTTTGAGACCTTTGGTATAAAGTGCTTTGTAAGCACAATATTATTTTTATTATTAAAACAGCGCTCGTATTGGTCAGATGATGTTCCCCTTCAAATTGGTCACATCTCCCCCCCCCCCTTCAAATTGGTTCAGTGATGCTGATTTGGGGTACAATAAGGGTTTTTTGAGCCAAAACCCACCCAGAAGTTGCATAAATTATTGCTTAAGTTAATTCTGAATGGCCCTCTTCTTCAATAGAAAGTCTTTTATAATTTGAATGGGTAAATGATAAAAAAAACTATTCTACCTTGTTTGTTTTTGGTTCAAGCTGTACTTAAAATGTATGTAAATCACTGTACATTATAATTGTTTATGTATCAACTAAAATATATTCTTATTTTTGAGAACATTATTGGATTTTTATGCCAACCAATAGCCATTCTTTTCATAGTGTTGGATTTTTAGTTTGCTAAACGAGATTATTCAGATTTGAGCGTTGTGTTTTTGAAATCTATTGTATTCTTTAATGCTACGGTATTCAGTGCTAGTCGTGACCGGAGGTGAGCCCAACCGTGCTATTAAAATTTAATATTCTGGTAATATTTAAGTCAGGAGACAATTTCATGTAACCCTGAAGCACAAAATATTTGGCCAAAGGCTTAATCAATTTTGATTGATTGATTAATTTTCTCCCTTTCATGTTGAATTGTCTTCTCCATTTTTTTTTTTAAATTCAAGACGTCGTAATGGACCAAATTCAGCAATTTGATTGTCTATACCCAATGGCCTATGCCAAAACTTTCTCTTTTTTGGGTGAAATATTCACTATGGAAGTGTTATGTAATAGCGAGCGAGGTCACTGGACTTATCCTAGTGACGCATCATGCCACACACTTGACAACTGATCCAGCAATTGATACTGCACGTGTATTCGAAGCGAAAGTAAAACCGTTCGGAAAATTTGTCAATAAATGCTACCTCGCGATGGTCAACTGTTTCACTGCGGACTGAAATCATACAAAGCAAAGTAACTCCGGTGGGTTTTTTTTTCCCGAACGAAACAACACAAAAATGCTCAGAAAATACACAAGTCCGTAGCCAGTGGCCGCCATGTTTGCATCAGCGTGATCCCGTTGCTGTGGCGACTGACCTTGGCAGAATCACTTCAATAGTGAATTGGCACTTATTCCCACACATTCACTATTCGATGACTTTCAGAAATTGGACTTAAAATATTGAGAAACAAATAACTAATTGAAATATTGTTTAGGGACACAAACCCAAATCAAGTGACCAATACAGGGTGGTCCCCCCCCCAAAAAAAGTGGAACGGCATACTTCCACTACCTTGAGACTCGAACCACCTGTACCAAATAGATGGAGAATCCTTAGAAGAATTATGATACCAAAATCTCCCGATTCGTCCATTAGTTTTTGCTGCAGAGCCTATTTTGTGAAGCACACTTCTTTCATGCGGGTAGTATTACATAACAATCCCTCTATCAATTACAATGTAAGTCAAAATTCCCGGGCGCGGTTTAGTAATTCATCGGGACAAAAATTACCCCACCTTGCTTCACAAAATAGGCTCTAGAACAAAAACTACTGGACCGAATCAGGCGATCTTGGTTTCGTTTTTCTTCTAAAAAAGATTCTCCATACATTGGTATGTGGTTTGAGTATCAGGGTAGTGGAAGTATGCCATTCCGGTATTTTGACCACCCTTTATAGTATGCGTTTGAAGTTAAGGATTTCCTTTTGTAAAACTTGATTTGAAGGACTTTTTTGTGGTTTCCTATTGTGCAAACATTTAGTGTGCTTCAATTTAAACCGGTTATATTTGTGTACATAGAATGTATGACGCATGAATTGAGTTATATTTATTAACATAGTCATTGTTAACGTCGTTTTGTACCAGTTTAACCAGCGTTTTCTTTAATGTTTGCAATGTGATGAAAATCTTTTGAAAAAGTGCAGATATTTTATTGTAACTGTGCCGATGACTTTTCTTTGCATTTCTTTCAAAATATTTAATCATACCAGAATCTTTTGTAAAAAAATATCATAGATTATTCACTTATACTCAGTATTTACTACAACAGCAAATATATTCATTTGATGGCTTTCTTCTAAGACTAAAATGAGGCATATATCCACTCACTAAAATGAAAGTAAAACAATTATATTACGTGACTACTCAGAGAAATTTGTGCTGATAGCTATATTTTCCTCGGATCATAAAATGATATAAGAAAAAAAAAATTCCGAAAAAGGGCACAGTTAAATAAACAATGAAATGTTTAATTTTCTATTCAATTCAACTGTAAAATACTTTAAATGAAATCCCTTGCAGAAATGCCACTAACAAGATAATCCTTGTTCTACTCGTCACAAATTTTAAAAAAAATGTTTAAAAACTATTCATAAATACCTGAGACAGTTCACCAATTCCGATTGGTCATGAGACCGTCACATGGGTGGTTTTAAATTGCCGGTAAGACACCGCTGCATTCTGTGCCACATCGCGCAGTCACACCGGGCAATCACGACGCGCGTGAGCCAAATTCCATATAAGGAAATGGTAGCACTACCTTAATGAAGCTCATACCATAGACCTGGCCAGAGGGGTGTTTCACAAAACCTGAAGTAAACTTGTTGAACGAAATCGTTGGAAATTTATGAATTCTTGACTTGTGACTTTGACCGAACAGTATTTGTGAATGGAAATAAATATGTGCTTGGCCGGTATTAAACAAGTACGTTTAATAGTGGCTAGGAGTCCGGATGCGGGTAATGACCGTCGCCTTTGGCTTGGGCCATAATCCTCGTCCAGGGCCAAGCACATCTTTTTTATTCCCTTATTAAGGCGTGGTTTGAAGAAAAAAAAGTCAAAGTTTTGTAGCATATTCAAATGTATGTAGATGTGACAGGGAAAATTGTATAGAGCTGTTTGAATTTGTTTTATTTTGAAATTTTATTTGAATTTGTACGTGACTGAGAAGTTTGGGGTTGTTGGTCTATTTTTAGAAACACCCGTTGAATCCTGTGGATGAACTCCCATTCAATCACATGACAGCAATGCATTGTGGGAAGGGTTTCATTATAGGATATCTCAGCATGCACTGCATCAACTTAAAAAACAAAACATATAAATAAACAAACGGACAAGTTTGGAAGTGTGGAAAACATGGAAAATAGACAGTGCATCGTGACTATGAAACAACACCAAGGAGTTTTTAGCATAGTTCAGGCAGAAAAAAATATATTTTTTATTTGGAAGACATTTTTTACTCTTTCCGTGACAAATCAAATCAAATTGTTAAATGGAACAAACCAATTATAAATCATACTTATTACTAAACCGATAATTCTGTAAATATTCTCATTGTACAATGGGGAGCCAGTAACCATCTTAACATGTTAGCATTTGGTCATTCGAAAGGCATAATTTTACTTTCATTTTTTGCCAACTTAATTTAATATATATTCATATATTGTGATTAACCAAAATTGATAATTGACCATTCTTTCTAATTTTAAGAAAACGTACTAATTTGCAGCCGGAAATTATGAAAAAATACCTGGGTTTTTTTCACATTCAATACATTATGCCCGATTTTGACAGATCTATGGTATGGCTCACACTAAAGTTTGTTTCATTATTCATAACAGCAAAGCCGAATATTTTAACTCCCAAAATGAATACAACTCTTTTCTTCTGTCGTTTATTTGCATGCTGCTGTTTAACATCTGTTTCACATCAATATCTCTGTTTTAATATCTGTTTCTGTTTGTGTGGAATAATTCATTAATTTGATGTGCAAGTTATTTATCCATAATTATAGGTTTAACATTGAAAAATAAAAATATACTGATTGATGATAAAAAGAAGCTATGTATTTGTCATACTAAGTCTCTTCTTGTGTTGGTGGTACTTGGGCTCGGTGGAAAAATCATAGACCATCTAGTGCCCCCCCCCCCCCCCCCCCCCCATGATTATATCCTCTCACTTTACTGTGTTGAAATTCCTTGGATGAAAATCAAGGTTCGTCTTGTCACCAAAGAATAATTTCGAAATATTTTTGATTTTTTTTTTTTGAGTAATGTTTCCTCAGTTAAATCATAGAGCAAGGAACAGAATGGTTACATAATGTTAAAGATTGTATGAGTGGTCTCGTAAAATTAAAAATACATTCAATTTAACCAATATGGAGTCCCCCTAAAAAAATAAAATTATCAAAGACGGGACTGAATGAATATATCTTATTTTGCTGATTCATGCGTGTTTTTCAAACTTCTGTTTTTCTTCCTGATTCCTCTTGCACAATTTCGTACAGTGCATGTTAGTGCTACGTGGGCGTGTTTTTGCGTTTGTCTTGATTACATAACAAAGATGTAAACAAAAGCACGTGGTCACGGCACGTGGTCAGAACACGTGCCTCAATTTGTCCCTGACCCAATCGGATCCGGATAGGTTTTTCCTAAACCTAGGATTTGTCTCCAGCTCTGGTCCCATCTTTGGCTTTGGAAGATATTGGAGTATTATTGCCCAAATCAGCTAAAATTAATCCAACCCTAGACTTTATAACTAACATTTAATGTTTCTGAATTAGAATACGGGACCATTATTTAAGCCGAGTCATGGGCACAGAAAACTTATGCATCCGAAGTGGAAAAGAAAGTCAAGTTTTGAAAACCCCTCAGTGCGTTTGGACCAGTCTAGTTCCCAGACCCGGGCCGTGGCTGTCCGTGCAATTTTCTAATTACTAGCCAGGGACACATGCTATCTTGTATAACAACAAAATTGTTCGTCACGCACGTCACTTACATTCATAATGAACTGATCTAGGCCTAACGAGAAATTATAACAATAAAATTAGACTGCACTGCAGTTTTATTTTAGGACTGGCAAGAATCAGGAAGTAGCAGGGCGAGGTGGAAACTATTGCATTTAAAGAAGCTCGAGCCGAGGTAAGTGTGCCAACTATAGACGTCATGGACGTGTTGTTCCTGAAGTTTAATCCACTTTTGCCAGTGACTGACTGTTCAGCTGTTGTCCGGATTTCGGGCAAGTCTTCACTAACTCAACAGTCATGACAGTCTACCTAAGAATGTAGTAATCCAGACGCCACTTCAGCGCGCTGTGTACAAAGTCTATGCAGAGTCAAGAAATAAGTTTAAGTAGGCCCCTTGGCCTATTTCCTAACAAAATTGGAAATGTTTCTCAGTCTCAGATTCATGTCGGAAAGATTTCCATATACGAAGTTCACTAATTTTCCTCTATTGACTAACACAAGCCCCCAGATAGCAATTTCATGAGCAGTGAGAAAATACAAGCATTTTCTTAGAAAACACTTAGAATTTTTCTGTCCAATCTCATAGGGTTTGTACACAGGGTGTTGAGTGAACTTCGTATATGGAAATCTTTCCTTCATGTCTTTTCAACATTTTTGCAATGAGAATAACTAACCTTTATTGAGATTATGAATGAAGAAAAAAGTGGCGTCAGTTTGCAACATTCTTCCCTTTATTTTATTAAATAAAATGTTCAGCTGTTGTCCGGATTTCGGGCAAGTCTTCACTAACTCAACAGTCATGACAGTCTACCTTGACTGTCATGATTGGGAAAGAATGTAGTAATCCAGACGCCACTTCAGTAAAACTATTGTTCAAAGTAAGTGCGCAAATAATGGTCACACAACCTTGAACACCTTTGAGCAGCACATGACATGCGTGAGGCAGAATGGATGGCACGTTTGTAGAGATCCCGGGTTCGATATCCCCATCGCGCTCATCCAACATTTTCAGGTTTTTATTTTTCGGACATTCGGACATGGTCTGGCGATAGTAGGGTCCAAGCTAATGGTTATATGCGGAGCAACACAATTCTGTCACTGGCCCAAAAACCAACATTTTCCAACAAAAACATCAGATTTCACCCTCAAAACGGTTTTCAAATTACTAGATACGCCACCTGAGGTACAAGTAGACATCGATGATTAAGATAGTTGTACTGGGGTGGATTGCAATAACCGGTCTTAAAGCTGTCTATGCGCATTAGACAGTCTAAAAGCTCTGGCTGTCAGTCAGTCTATAAGTAAGACCATTGCTATAACACAGTTTAAGTAGTAAGACAGTCTTAAAATAGTTAGCCTGGGTTGGGCTGGCTTAAAACGGTCTATAGTTGGGATTTTTGGAATTCACTGGTGTGTTGAATTATTCTTTCCCAAAATATTTTTTCCCAGTTGATGAGTGTTTGATGATTAAATCTTAAAAAAGCAGAACACTGCTTGGAGGGAAAATTCTCTGGGATAGAAGGGATCTTCTGGAAAAATGTAATAACACTGAGTTGTACTGCAAATACAATTTTCTCAACATAAAATTTCGGAATTGACATTTGATTTCCCGTGATATGAATTACACAAACCTAAAAAAAAAAGAAGGTGCAGTCTCTCCAGTATTCGCCCGTTACCATGGAATGTTTGTTTGTGAATCATTACTCTAAGCCGGCTTAGTAAAGACCAGCTTATTGCAATGGGCTAAGTTTGGTGTCTTAACCAAGACCGTCTAAGAACAATAGCCGGCTAAAATTGGACTGGTTTAGCCAGCCGACTGAGACTGCGTTATTGCAATCCGCCCCTGAAGTTTACTTACGATCTGGATGAAAAGTGAAATTTCCCGTTCAATTCCGAGAGCTCCCCTCGCGATCGTGAACACATTTAATTTCCGATTCGTGTTAATGTTTGAACGATGCGATGTGGTCTTCATGCCCAGCGTTCATTCGATGGTCCCCGTATCCCGAGTGCGATTCCGTTACCGAGCGCGCACGATGCGTCGATTATGATAATGAGTAGACTGGATCACGTTTGTAAACACAAGTGCATTTCGAACGATAATAGGGAGTCGGGAACTACGACAGCTTTTATGGGCGGGAGTCGGGGGAACTAGCTTGAACGGGAACGGTAAGACATTAGGTTGGTTTCCTTTCAACCAGATGTTTGAATTAGGCTAAGTAAACAATCCAAAACATAACATTTTCAGGGATTTCAGGACCTAGTGCCCCTTTAAAGGTACAGTCCATCATTTGCAGCTATCCAAAAAGTGACTTGGCTGAAAGATAGTAAGGGGACTAAACTCCCTGTGAAATTCTTCTTTTTGTCATGCTGTTGTTTTGAAGAAATCCACGAAAGAAGGCCTTTCCAACGGTGCGTCTTAAAACGCACCGTGGGAAATTTCTGTTAATTGTTCGTTTTTTTATTTGGCGAAGCGGGCGCAAGCATTGACACGACGCACATGCATGCGCGGTTGCTACAATTCGTCGGTTCAGTGCGCGACATTGCATAGCTGCAATCGGCTTAGTGAGAACGTGTCTCGGACGCTGAATTCAAGCCCAATTAGAAACATGATTCAGCAACTTTTGATTTGAAATCAAGATCCTAGAATGTTGGTTTTCTCGAAATGTACAGCTGAAACTGATCTACAACTTCATCAGGTTAATTGTTCAGCACTCTTCTTTAGATTTTGAGAACTTTTGTTGCTTCACACGAACCAAAGGCACAAATTACAAACGATGGACTATATACCTTTAATGGTAGACCTTATATTGCGTAGACCTTATATTGCGTAGCAGCCTTCTTAGAGGGCAATGCCTTTGATTTGCTGGGATACATATGAGTGAACCTCTTGTGCGTTCATTGTTACTGAATTGAAATAACAACAGATGCCTTCTAAGATGGCCGCTACGCATAAGCTCTATAGGCCAAGAAGTAGGCCAAGAAGTCCATTTTTGTCTTGGAAAAATATGTGCAAGAAACATTCCGTCTCATTACTTTGCAAGAAAAAAAGCAGATTTTCTATTATTTCCTCAAGTAATTTGTCATGTGGTGTTAAAGCCCAAAAAAAAATAATTCTGCTTCCGGTTACCCTACATGAACCTACCCTACTTTGACAGCCCCTACCCTTATTTTTTTATGGAAAAATGAGGGAAAAAAACCCGAAAATAATCAGTTACAACCTTTTACCCTTGACTACACCACGGACCATGGTCCGTGACTAGTGTCTACACGCAGACACCTCCATATGATTGTACACAAAAAAAATTGCAAAAAAAATTTCCTACCTACCTATCCTATATTTTCAAATGCCATGTAATTGGAAGCAGAAGTATTTTTTTGTTTTGGCCAAATATGTGTTGAGATGCATTTTACACTGAACACATGTATGTTCATAATGTAAAATGTATGGTGTACCTATGTGTACCTGTAATAATCTGATTTTATGTACAAAGTATGTACAGTGTATACGCACTTCATTTTATCATGGACATTAACTCATAAATTCCATTGTGATTTGTCACGAACTTTGTATGGTCGCCACATAATTCAGCCCCGCCCAGTTCATGTTCATTGTGTGTGTGTATAGCCCAGGTCGGACAATGTCTTCATTGCATGCGTGTACGTGACGGAGTCCAACCTGGGCTAGTGTGTGTATAAATAGCACCATCGACCTATTTACTAGTGTAAATATGCATTGTTCAGTCTGGCTCATAATTCAGTCAAGGGGGAAACACCGCAACAAATAAAATCTGACGTTATTTGCTGAATAAGGAAATGGGAGATTTGAACACATTCCAAGCTGTCTAGAACCAAGCAGACGGCGAAAAACAGTGATACGTACATGATTGCGGTATGTTCATGTTTTGTTTTCATGGTACATGTATACAGAGTAATATGTGTCTCCTATACTGTATGTAGCTGTGTACCAGTACATGAACAGTGAACTTCATTGATACTGTTTGTACGGTACATGTGCATTATGCCTAGCATTGTAACTAGGACAACAAATTAAAGAGGTTGTGGAATGCTCGAAGACATTTCTTTCATTTTTCGGGTATATGTAGCCTAAGGTGTGATGAAATAAAAACGACTATTGTGTCGGTCATGAAATGAGTACAAAAGGTACTTTTGAGAGCTGTTTTTCAGTTCCTGTTTCGACCCAAACGTGCAATTTGTGTAAAAGTCGTCGTTGGGGGCAGCAAACAAAACATAGTAAATCGTGACGTAATAAACAGGACTCCAGATGCAGCGTAGTATAAACAAGTCCTGTTAATTACGTCACGATTTAGTATGTTTTATTGATTTTCCAAGATGAATTGTAGACATGTATTAAGGAATCTGATCCTTCTAACATAATGGTTTTGACTTTTGGATTATTTGTTGGTTGTCAAGATCGGTACGCAGATACATGTTCAAGTTTGCTGACTGAAAAGAGGGAAATAAAAAATGAAATTCAATCACAAAGTGGGAACTAACAAATTTCTGGTAACTAACAATTTTCCAATTTTAATTCCAGGAAATAGATTTGAAAAGTTTGCCAACCCGTCAATCCCTGCACGGTCTACATGATGTGTGAGTACATGCCTCCGTGCAGCAAAGGGGCCGTCTTCATTATAGACGAGTACAACCTGGCCCTGTGTGCCATCGTAACCCTGTTGATGCAGACGACGTTCTTCATCATCGCAGCAACCTGCAAGTTTGACAAAGTCACGGACTTCGCCGGAGGGAGTAACTTCGTAGTCCTGGCACTTCTGACCTTCTTTCTGGCAGGGGTAAGTTGGCCAGATTAACGTGAACTGCGCGTGTCACTACCAACAAAATTTGCTAGGTAAAGATCTGAACTGTCTATTCTGTGTATATGCAAGATGGATGAACAAACCCTGCATACATCGTGCATGAGCAGTGCGATGGCATTTGACAGTGTAGGTGGCGTTTGTTATCACTCTTTGAGATCTCCATTCATGTGCAAGACACGCTGTGCGTGCGCATTGGCTTACATGCATATGGCTTGAAGCATGCAAGATTAATTTCCATCATTTTGTGCTCAAACTGGGGTAAGGCCGAGTAAAAAATATCTTGTCTGGCCTTTTTTTTTTTAAATGAACACTTTATTTTTCCTCTTCAAAAGAGTTGCTTTTTTTAAGAGGCATAGTGCCTCCACAAAACTTTATGATGTGCTAGAATTCATTAATACCCCATCGTCAGGTATTCACAAAATGAAATAACAACAACAATTAGAAAATATGTTTGCTGCTTTACCCATTGACATTAAAATTTTGATCACTTCAATTGTACATGTACCTTATTTTTTTCATTCATTCGCATGTTTTTAACCCACACCCTTTGCCACCCCTTTATCCACCCCCCCCCCCCCTTGAACTCCAGACCTATGGAGCCAGACAGATTGCCGTGACCGTCTTCGTTTGCGCCTGGGGGTTCCGTCTCTCTGGCTATCTCCTGTATCGCATCATCAAGATTGGCGAAGACAATCGCTTCGACGAAATCAGAGGAAATTTCCTGAAATTTGCTGGCTTCTGGTTCTTCCAGGTTGGACAAGATCAACTTCTTATTTACTACATGTATTGTCGCAGTGTTTTGCTGTGTTTCTTTTAGACAGAGTACACTGTCCGAAAAATTGAAAACGTTTCTCAGCATTTTTTTTTTTTTTTTTACAGAACCGCACTTCTTCACAGAAAAAAAAGTTAATTCCATGGTATACCCGCAAATCTTACCACTTTATTTAATTTTTTTTTTCTGAGGAAATGAAACGAAAGAAATCGTTATGATTTTGTGTGAATGATGAGCCACTTTTAGCTACATTTCCAAATTTGAATTAGTTTGTTGAAAAAGAAACTTTTTTGTTTGTTTAGGAAGATCTGATCTATTTTTCTGTTCTGTAGATCCCAGAAACCAGAAGATGGAATTACAAACAGAAATCTGGGGTGTTTTGGCAGTCGTAACCAAGAATTGGTTCTGTTAGTTCTCTTTGGTTAATTGTTTGGGTGATTTGAGTATCGGTACTACATGTACATCATCATGCGTAGTTCTTACCAAATAAATACTGCCGAAGAAATTCACCGACAAGAAACAACCGAACCAATTCTTAGTTATGACCGCCAAAACTCACCCCAGATATTTTCCAACTGTAAACCGCACTAATCCAAACTATTACAAAAAACCCTGAACTGCCAATGGTGTATGTTGTATTAATAGTGAAGACATTTGGCACTCTGCATGGGACAGCTCAAAATAAGCCCATTTGCGAATAAATTCGAGTAACATCTGACTTGCTGGAATGATTGGCACATTTTAATTTTGAATTCTCCAGACCAAAGAGGACTGTTGCTATATCACGTGATTTGGGGCAAGCCTTACGCTAGCAACCCCCAGCTCTGGCATGGTCTGGTGTCTTTGTGCCATTCTCACCCATTGTGAACAATGTATTGGTGCTGAGCGTCTTTTACGTAACTATGCAAGAGCTTGCCCCAAATCATGTGATATAGCAACAGTGTCTTTGGTCTGGAGAATTCAAAGTTAACATGTGCCAAGCATTCTGAGCAAGTCAGTGTACCAGACATTATTCAAATTTAAATCGCAAAGGGTCTAGGTTATTTATTATTATTTGTGCTTTCTAGCAATTTCTTGTCTAATTTCAAGGTTTTTTCCAACAATTTTGAGGGATTTTGTACTCTAGATATTGGCTACTATTGCTTTACATGGGTCTTGGTGTCCCACTTCGTTCATGCACATAGAATATGCAACTTGGTTGCGGGAAGGTGTTAAATGTTGGAGGTTTAAGAAAGCCGTCAGCAAATTTCCACAACACGTTTTGGAAAAACATGATTTTATATTGGTAAAAGAGAAAAACCCATGTTATAAAACCTTCACTTTGTTTACATTTTCATCGTTTGGCCAGGCCGTGTGGGTCTTCTCGGTCAGCCTGCCGGTCATCTTCATCAACGCAGCCAAGAATGCAGAGGGGGGCTGCTTCGGCGTCCTGGACATCATCGGCACTGTCTTCTTTGTCATCGGGTTGGTCATTGAGACGGTTGCCGACATGCAGAAGTTCAGCTTCCGCAACAATGCGGAGAACAAGGGCAAGTGGTGCGCCGTCGGTAAGAATCATTGTCTTGAGGTTATCCAAAATTTGTCTTGAGACTGGAGGCCTGTTGGCGGAGATGCCTTGGTATATCGGAAGGATTGCCAGAGAGCTTCGTATTTTGACTGGTGTGCTTGCTTCAGGACGCTTTCTGCGCAACGCAACCATATCTAATAATAGTTGAAAGTTTCTAGTTTTTGTTTTGTTTTTTGGAACTAGTAATGTCATACGTAACAGGGGATGAACAGTGACAACAGAATGCTTTGGTTGCAGTTCATTTGCGCAGTTCATTTGACTTGGGACTGGAGGACTTGTCATCAACGTGAGACTGACTTGCGAGCCACCCAGTCAAGCCAGGCATGCCTAATAAGTGTGGTGCTCTTTTCCACGCTTTTTGAAGAAAAACAAAATTTCCCACACGGTGAAAAAATTGGTTCACCACTCTGGAAAATGACATTTACATGTAAGAGTCATGTGAAAAACAAATAATCGTTGTAGCTACCCTGCAAAAACAGAAAGTCCCCCACCCTTGACTCTATTTTTAGAATTTTCCCCACTCTGAACGCAATTTCTGGTAAGACCCCTGCTTACGAGGACATGACCACTGACCACAACTCTGGTAATTTTGGGTTTTTTTTGTAATGGATTGGGGTGTTAATGTCTATGGTAGTGGGCTTGAACTGACTTCTAATATAATAATATTAGAAAGCACACCTATTCACCATTATTGGTGCTCAAGGCGCTACATCATTAGTGCCTTGCTCATTGGGCCAATGAAACATTCCAAAGACCTCAGCTCCTTGGGGAATATACAGCTCGATGCTGCCCATTTCGGCACAAAGCAGCTGCTAAAATCAATCACAGTAACCATCTTTACCCTCACAGGTACCCAATTTACTCCTGGGTGGGGAGTAAATGGGTCCCAAAGAGACTTGTGACAGTCCTTCTGATTTGAAAATCACAGGTGTGTGGAAAAAGGCCCCGCCTGGATTTTTACAGGCGTGTGATTTGTCTAGGCGTGTGATTCTGTGTTCCAAGCTGGGACTGAACAATCTGGTACTTTTTTTCATAATATTCATCTTGGTTTACAATAAAGCGGTTTTCTGTTCACCGACGGACTTTATTTTTCACAAATTATGAAGTATAATTATGACATAAATTACGTATGCTGAGGTGTGCGGTACTGAGGGATTCTGGGGTGCGATTATTCGCACTTCTCGGGAAGCTTTTAGGCGTGTGATGGCGTGGGGGTGTGATCACACGCCTCAAAACAGAAGGACTGTTGTGACTGACTTGCAAGGATTTGAGTGAAAACGCTCTTCCTTAACAATTTTTTTTGGTCGATTCTTTTTCAGGTCTGTGGTACTGGTCTCGTCATCCCAACTACCTGGGTGAGATCACCCTGTGGTTGGGCATCTTCCTGGTGAGCTGTAGCGTTGTCATATACTGCGAGTGGGTCGTTGTCATCAGCCCAATCTTCATCATCTGTATCCTGCTGTTTGTCAGCGGCGTGCCCATGCTGGAACAGAAATCGGACGACCGATACGGATGGTGAGTTAAACAAAACCAAAAATTGTGACACTTGCAACCGAAATTCCAGCAACAAGGCTAAGGGCCAATCGCAGTACGGGCTACAAATGAGAAATAGAGGAGCAAGTTAAAGATAACATACAACATTTGATTTTGTTGTCATTTTTCGGAAATGGATGGATTTTGGGAGTTGCTATTTTATAGCAAATATTGTTACATTGACTTGTTTGAAGTTTTGTGTTCGTAGATGCTGGAAAAACCAAGAAAAACAATCATGTTCCTGTAGTCTGGTTCCCTGACCCCACTTAAGATGAAACAGAGCAATTTATAGACGTTGGGGAATTGTAAGGTCAGGGAACCAGTCTAGCTGGCTTGTACCCGTTCGTAGGTGTGTAATCGATTGTAAACAAAATGCGGACTACCTAAATATGGTAAATTGGGGGTAGTATTTAAAAAAAGCCAGTTTTTTCCAATGCTGGTCGGCTAACCAGCGTTGGAAATTGATACAAAAATAACACTTTTCTTGAAAATGACAGTGCACCAGGTGCCATGATTTTACAGGATGCTTTAGACTGTCATTCACTAACAGTCCAGTAAGATATTTCATAATAATTTGGTAGTTTTGTTTTTTGATGTTTGCAAGTGTTGTGTATTACCTTTAAGAGTTCAGTTGCATTTGGGCCGTGTTGGATCATGATGAACTGAGTAAAATTTAAAAGTCGAAGTTGTTATTCATGTGATTGACAGTAGTTGTTATCAGAAAACATCACATTTTCAGTGTTGTAGTCGTGTCCGTCACAAGTCTAAACACTAGTGAATCACAAGTCCATTCCCAAGTTGGATGGCAAGTAACGATGGATGAACACTAACATGGCATGCCTAAGTTGTCATAGTTCATATATGAGTAGTTGTGACGTCAAGTTGAGATCGTATAATTTGTGATCAACTTCTACTATGCATATTCTATTATTGTGTGGCCTTACTTGCTGTTACACAAAAACATTTGAAGAAAACATATGCAATTACGCTGGATTCGTGGTCTGTGGGTAAAGCTGCAGGTTGTGGGTTCGAGTCCAGCCCGGGGTCATGGTGCGTGTGCCCTTGGGCAAGGCACTTTGTCACTCATTGCTTCTCTCCACCCAGGAGTAAATGGGTACCTGTGAGGGCAGAGATGGTTATTGTGGTTGAATTAGCTTGCTTGCGCCTAACAGGCATTATACAGCTGTATACTCCCCAGGGAGCTGAGATGGTATTTGGAATGTTTAATTGGCCCAATAAGCAGGGGTAATAATAATGTAAAGCCCTTTGATCTTAATAGTTAAAAGCACTATATAAGAACCTGTTATTCCTACAAATGTACTATTAGGGAGACACGTTAGCGTAGAAATTTCGATAGTAGGGAGACACGGGCTTAATAGGTGTCTCCCTATTGGCGCAGCCCCCCTTTAGAGAAAAAATTTTGCTGTCCATATTAGGTTATATTTGTTGCTCGTGGTCTAATTAGTAAAAATACCGAAATGGGAATATTGGGTTAGGGCACATTTAAATCGGAAAATTTTTGTGCACAAGTCTACGGGAAAGTCTCCCTATTACCCCATTGCCGGTAATTATTATTATTATTATTATTATTATTATTATTATTTAAGAGTACCATAAAGATGGTAACCGCAAACCATTAAACTGTTCCTTGTCATTGAATCCAGCCGAGCGGAATACCAGGAGTACAAGAGGCAGACCAGCCCCATCCTCCTCTGTCCGCCCCGCCTCTACCGATCTTTGCCGGATGTCGTCAAGTGCCTGTTCCTGTGCGAGTTTCCATTCTACAACCTCAAGCCGAAAGACGAATGCAAACCGATAACAGCTGCGCCTACTGAAGGACAAAGCGTTGTGAGGGCTTAAGTCTTGATGGGGAATGTGAGGGCGCCCTTCACTCATACTGTAACTATACATCTGTATTTCGTGTGGAAAGAATTTGGTTGTAGTACAGGGTGCCCCAACAAAAATGCAACCTTAAAAGATTTGCCTTGTTTCAAAAACGTGGCCGGTGAATGATTATGTTTTGGATATCAGATTGAAGCTGAGAGTTTTTTCTTTCAAATACTGAGAAAAAAAAATCATGAAAACAGCACATTGGGTTGCTGAGAAAATGTCAATTATGTAACACAACTCCTTTTTTGGTCCATTCAAATGGCATTACTACAGTTAAGGGATATACACTGTACCTATCTGTGCATGTCCTAATCCTTACAAACAACACGGCGCATAATATGACAAGAGCACAAATGTGACCTGTTCTGTCAAAAGCAGACGCTTCTGGGCAGAGGTTGAAAGTAAGATATGGCCAAAAAACTGTGGAGGTGATTTTTTTTCGATTGTCCAATTTTATCATATTTGTAATCCTGAACATGTCTTAAATATACTATGAAAGTTTGAAACCATAATTTGAACTCTAAATATAGTATTTTTGATGATTTGTTAAGGTATATCAATTAAAGAAATTACTGTTTTGTGACGTTCGTGGCCATTTTCTCCGTTTTCTACTTTTCGACACAATGAACTTCAAAATAGCATAACTCTGCCCAGGAATGACCGGTTTCAAAAATTAAACCACCTATTAAAAGGAAAAAGAACATATTTTAACAATATGCAAAAACCTCATTTGTCACCTTATGCCCAGAAAAGTCTGATTTTGACAGAACAGGTCACAAATGAATTTGATGGATATACCTTTTATTTCACCTGAACAGGTATTAAACCTTTTCAGCATCATAAATATGTCAAAATATTGAAGAAATTGCACAAATGAAAGATTTGCACAGTGGGCTTACAGTAACATGTTTCACTGATTGAAGCAACTTTGGAAAGGATGAAAAATCACTTCTTTCACATAATTGGTATTTTCTCAGCAAACAATGTGCTGTTCTCATGATTTTTTTCAGTATTTGAAAGAAAAAGCTCTTAGCTTTAATCTGATATCAAAACATCAAAATTCACCGATCACGTTTTTGAAAAAAAAAAAGCATATGTTTCAGGGTTGCATCTTTTGGGGGTCACCCTGTACATGCAGTTGAAAAAGTGCAGTGCATGTCACATATATGCAGAATATCGTTCTTATTATAAAATACCCTAGCCTGGTATGCTCTGTGTGGTGGTTGCTATTTTTTGTGATCCAGATTTACCACAAGAGGGCAGCATTGCCACCACCATTATTCAACTTACACATTCGTGTACATATTGCTAATAATGCTACATTTTCACATTCTATATATTTTGCCAAACACTTTTGTTTTATGTGCCCAGCTTCAATGAGGGTCGTACCGAGAAAACACTTCTTGCATGACTGAGTTTTATTGTGACACTGTACAAAATGGACACTGTACAAGATGTGTGTTAAAAAAATACAATGTAAAACTTCAAGAAATTACCAGCATATTAGCTCTTTGTATGAAACCAGCATTCTTTTGAGTTAAAGCTGTATATTGGCTTGTACTGGTCTATTTTATGTATATTTAAAAGGTACGCTGCCTATGGGCTCTTTGCACAAGTACCCCCTCAACGGTAAGAAAGGGAGAGTTGGGGGAGACCACTGGGAGAGATATTCAAATGCTATGCTAACTACGCCCGACACTCATGCGAAGACACTGTTGCTTTGTGCACATTCAGAAAGAAAAAAAAATTAGTGTTGCGTATTTTGCACCATATGCGCACGAACCAGGACACACACGTCAAAATGTCCTTTCTAGTTAGCGCGTAGAGCCCATGAAGTTGTTAATATGATGTGTTGTTTTCAAACTGTTCAACTCGCTAAAAGATGATTATTGTTAATAACAATTGGGTGCAATTAAATGGAGCTAATAAGTTATAAGAATAGAAAGTTGGTTAGACATTTTCTTATAAGCCAAAACAGCTTATCAGCCAAATGTCATGCAAATTTTTTTGTAATTTTTTTGAGGATTCTTTAGCTGATTTTTACCAACCACTCAGATTTGATTCGATCCCATGAATGACTTATGTTCGAAGTCTCTAAAATTTAAACAAATATGCAAAAAACTAATTTGATTGAATTTGTCCAAATTTCATTGTTTAAATATTTCATTCACTTTTATGGCTGAACTTGGCAGGAATTGATTGCCCTTCCAGTCATCATTTTTGTAATTGATAAAAATTTCTTTGTACAGGCATTCTTCCGTGTGCTAAAAGTTTGTTTGGAAATTTCAACATGTTGCTTTTTTGCAGAATTACCTTGTACATGTACATGTATGTTTTGTAATACACATGTATTTCATTGTTTTGAACAATGTTACTTTTGAACTGTGAAATTTAAAAACATGATTTAAAATCTTTTTTGGTCTAAAAAATAAGTTATCCTCAGAATTTTTTTACTCATTTATTTCTGTAAATAATCTAATTTTCATGAAAAAAATGTAATAGCTTGGACCTTTTTTCCTGGGGAGACGGATGTCAAAAACATCTTGATAAAAATCATATATATGTATGGTTGTTTACTCGTTGACGTTGGTGTGTATAAAACCTTAATTATATGGAATTAAAACAATGATGTGCATTTCATATAGGTGTTAATTATTTTGAGTTAACATATATCTGTTCGTTGTCACAGAGTTGACCCCTCAAACGTCATCAATTTTCAAATCTTATTTTGTTCAAGATCTGATGACTAAACAAAAAGGTGATCCTTGGATCGCACGTGTCGCCTTTTTCCATGGTCGGAATTTTGTGCATTTTTGAAAAAGAAAAAAAGAACTCGAAAACACAAAATCGAAGAGACAAAACTCGCATTCCTGTTTTCTTTGATGTTAATCGCATTTTAATTCTATACACCTTGGCAGTTCAAGCATCTTCACGGACTTCACGTTATTATTTTTTTGTACAATAATTTTCTTTTACCACACCAAATGACAACAGTACATTTTTGAGAACTTTGATTAAACATCTAGTTTGTGTGCAGTGGTTTTTAAGAACTCGTGTTCTTTTTAATGTTTTTGGTGATAACAAAACACCACATTAACCAATCGTTCATGCTAGTTTAGCCAAAAAAACAAAAAACAAAAAAGCAAATAAATGTACCATAAGTAAACACAAAAACGCAATAATCTAAATGGTACATAAGTATAATTGCACGCAAGAAAGGAAATACAGAACAAAACGAAGTTGGTACGTGAGTTAACTAATACATGGTTTACATCCTTGCAAAGTTTCACTTTTTTTGTTTATTCACTACAGGGGAAATATGCATCTCTTAGAAATGTTTTGTTACTTAAACGGTCAGATTTCTCATCGGAAACAAGCAGGGATTGATCTTTATTAAAATGGGAAAGGAATGATGTACACTAATCAAAAGGAACAACTCCCATGGTTTTTCACAAATTATGGCTAACAAATGTGGCACTGCACAACGAATACCGTAGACGGGGTCACGTTAACTCAAACGACTGTTAAACTCCTCCATACGCACATACACACTAAACAGGAGTAAATGATATCGCAAAATCACACGCCAATACTGGCTTCTTATAACTTGGATCAACTTCGATCACAAAACTGTTATGCCCTTACATTTTGGGTTTTTTTGGGCTTATATAGGGAAATGCTAATTTTGAGGGACATACGTTAGATTTTCTTTGCACCAAGAAAATGTACATGCACAAGTATAGTTCTCATCGTTACAGGAATATGTTCTAGATACCTTTATTTTTGACAAAGAGTGGCTTTGAAAAGATAATACTTAAAATGAACGGACTAATGGTCAGATTTCACAAAATCCAGCACAAATTCTGTATAAAATGAATGGAAATCTACAATAATAAGGGTTTTTCCCTTCCATAGCTTCTATAAAATCTCTTTTTTAGGGTCGGGAAAATTACTATTTATTTTTGTTAAGATTGCCAAGGCTTGACCTAGTTTAGGTTATTAACATACTTTGTGATTGGGTGTAGAGTTTTTTTTTGGGGGGGGGGGGTGGGGTTTAAGCGAAACACGTATGGATTTTTCGGTTTATTAGTAAGGTATCTACAGTTGAACAGGATTAGCTGTGGACCATGTTGACTGATAAAACCATATAACTAGTTAATCTAGTTAAAACGCTGTGCACTAGTTTATCATTTAACTAGTTTACCTAAACCCGAAGTTTAAAAACAATGGTCAACTTTCAATTTGATGGTTTTTGTTTTTAATTTACATAAACTAACTGGCGCAGGCTGTTTCTTCAAAAGCAGTTTTCCAACATCAAACTGTCTTCAAACATCAAACCAAAAAAAAAATGGCAAAATTTAAAACAAATCTCTGCAGGGAAAAAAAATAAAGGACCCTAAAAACTGAATAGAACTCTTCAGTTATCGATGAACACGAGTCCCAACGATATAACAGATAATTCCACTATTAAAAACAGAATTTTTGGTCAACATCACTAAAAACAAAAAAAAATCCACAAAGCTCAATCACTTAAAAAAACAAAACAACAACAACTTGGGAAACCTCCCTCAGTTGTTAAACTTTTTTCCAAATTTTGTTAAGAACAAATCTCCATCAGAAACAGATTCTTGATTTGTTAGAAAAACAACAACAATCAATTCGTGTTAAAGAGTAACTCTCTGTACATGTGTGAATTTTGTCAATGTGTAATTTACAAACACAAGTTGTTTTTATATATATATACATTTGTTTTATATGTATACTTTATTTACAATGTACCTGTGATAAAGACAACATTTTTTTCTCAATATTTTCCTCAAATAATTGGTTCTTCTGGTTATCCCTTGGGATAAAAAAAAACCCCAACAAATAACAATAAATTCCACCAAAATGACAGCGAGATTTTCCTCTCCGCAAAACGGTCGTTCTTCTGGAAATGGTAGTTACGTTCCCCTAAAGCTCTTTTCGTCCCCACATCCCAATCACCCAATCCTTCAATTTGACCAAATAAAATCTCCAAAAAAAAAAAAGAAAAACCACCTCAATAAAAACCTCACAGGTTTGCCAACTAGTCAGTCATAAAATCAATCTTTTCAAAATCACCACTCGGTACACGTTCAAACCTGTTCCATATTCCACCGCCACCTTACTGTTTTTTTTGTTTCTAGTGCCAACAAGCTACCAAAATTTTCGCTCATAAAACTTCCCATTAACAAACCACCTCTGAACACGAAATCGTGCGGGCAAAATTTTGACCGACGAATCGACCATGCCAACATCCCCCGAATGACCCAACCCGAACATCCACCCCCTTTACGGGATCACCTCCCATTCAATAACTCCGCCCATCCCTTTTCAAATCCTTCGCCGGTTACCCCAAGTGTAAATCAGTTACATGGGTTTCAATCCTCTCCGTAATCAATCCGATTTTCCGACCTCATCCGTTGTTTTTTCCTCGATGGTTTAAGACCTCTAGGCCGGTAGCAGATCCAGGTCTCTGTCGACCTCCACCATGGGCACGTGGCAGGACGGGATCTGGGGGCGGTTCTTGGGGTCCCACAGCTTCAACTCCTGCAACTTGAGCTCCCATTCCAGCTTCTGTATGGCGTACAGCGACGCCGCCTCGTGTTGATGCCGTTGAAGAAGGTCCTCCTGAATGCAAAATAAAAATTCAGTCACAATTTAAACTTCAATTGTAAGTGCTCCAATAAATTGTCGGGTCTTCTTGCGTACGTGAATGACATGAATGTTCAAATTTCAAACCTTCGCAGCAAAATTCACCAAAGGATAAAAGGGTTCAACTTTTCTGAACTCGCAGCACATTCAGAATAAATGTAATCATGGGCTACTTCTTCGCCATACATGCACCAACCAGTGTGTACGTGCACTAAATACACCCCAGGACTGACAGACAAAGAGAGAACAGATTCTTTGTTGACCTCGATCATTTATCTTTTGTTGAAAACGGTCCTCTATCGTGTGTTTGTGTGCTTAGTCTATGGCAGAGTGTTATATTATAGGGACAAAGGGAAAGACAATGCATTGTCCTCGAGAGTTATGTAAAGTAGGACTGGGTGAACCCGCAGTGTGTCTGTGCTACTGGAGCACTCTTGAGTAGTCACACTGCCCCATCTACTGTTCATACACGTAGTCAGTGTCATCTAACGGAAACACAAACCCACCTTGATTTTCTCATACTTGTCGTCCACGTCCTGCAGCCACGACAGTAGCTGTCGACCGTTGTAGCGTTGACGGATGCTTCCTTTGCTATCTTCATGTGGCTGCAAAAAAAAGTGAAATTACACTATGTTTAACATTTCCGTTCACTTGTTATCAATCAAAATTTACCCAAACTCCGAGATTCCCAACTGTTAGGGGCAAGGGTTGCAGCCAAAGCAGGAAACCAATTTGACAAACAGACCAAGTGAAAGAATGGACAAGCAGAGAGTGCGATTAGAGTCGACAAAAAACACATTACCATATTGGTTTGATAGAGTATGGGTTTGCTTTGTCAAATCTGCACTTAAAGAAAGGGCACTAAAGAATTGGACAGTCTGCAAAACAGGGATGTACTCGAATCCATCTCATGTCCATCACAAGTCCAGTCACAAGTAACAGTGGATAAACAATAACAAAGGCAATGCCTTTGTCAAAGCTTATGTGAGTAGCTCGCAAGTTGAATTGGGACTGGAGGACTTGTGATGGACTTGCAGGGACTTGTGCTGGACTCGACTACATCCGTGCTGCAAAGTGCAATCATTCTTTGATTTCAACCGTGAGTCCAACCTGTAGCACATACTCACCATGGGCTCGGGCATGTTGTAGACTTCCTGGTTCTTGAGAACCGTACAGACGCTGAATGGAATGCTCTGATTGGCTAAGGCCCTCGCTGCTCGACCGTACACTCGGATGATGTCCTGCTCAGCTGCTAACATCAGTTTCTCCTATTAAGAGGAAAAGGTGCAGTATTTCACTACCTCAAGTCAAAACTCTCTCCAAACCCTAATTTCTACAAGATTTTATGAGGCTTCCAATCCAACGGCAGTAAAAATGTGAAGCCTACTGCATCCAAAACAGAATCCAAAAGTTTGACAGTACTTCGCTCACTGCTTACTCACAAAATCTACACACAAAAATTTGGAGTCTTAAATTCAGAAAGATTACATTCATTTTGTTCAACTTTTAAGGGTAAAAACACCTCTTTACTCAACATGCATTTTTCTGGGTCAGTCATAAAATTTAAACTCATGTTTGTTCTTAAAATAAAAAAACCTAAATTTCAAGTTTCAAGATTCAGGATGAAGTCTGGCCACTTACTCTCTCAATACAATGTCGACATCTTAGATCATGTCGCTTCTTTTCCTGTTCTCGGAACTGTTGCAGACAGATGTTGTGTAGCTCAGGAGGTGCTTCCATCTGAGAAAAATAAGCAGGTCTTGGTAAGCTTTGGGGATAAAAGAGCTACTTAACAATTTCTAAGCCTCAACCAAAAGCTGCTTTGCGTGACTTTAAAAAAAACCCAATACTTCAGATTACGATGCTTGTGAAAGTTAACCCAATGCAACCAGAGAATGATTAGCATTTCAACCTATTTTCGATGTGCCAATCTGGAGACTATAACATAATTTTTTTTTGTTACTTAAGAAAACAAAATCTTATTGGAAGCTGGAAAGCGAATGCGAAATTAATGTCCATTGTAAGATTACTTGTCAGAAATAATGAACAAATATAGCAGAATTTTGTAATGAGGGTACACCACAAAATACAGTTTTGCGACAAAGTCTGAAGCACATTGCATTCCATTCATAGATAATTGTTATTCCCAAAGCCAGTATACCAAACATTTCTGCCCATCCTTTCTTGAGATCTTAAAGTAGAGCTGATAGTGACTGTACTTACATTAGGGATAGCCACGCTGATCTTGGTGTCTGGATCACTGGCTAGTAGGTAGGTCTTCCTATGCATCAGGTACTCGCTGTAACCGCTGGGTTGCTTAGGTTGGACGTTGGCTATCATCGTCCGTTGCCGGGCCGCAATCCTCTGCCTGATGTTCAGAAACATCTCCATGGTGTTGATTCTCTCCAAGGGAGCCGGCGGTGACTGCCGTTCAACGTTGGTTGAGCACTCCCCGTTATTCTGTTGCTGCTGGCGGTGCCGTGCCATTTTTCGCTTCCTGGGATGAGAGGATTCCAAGTTGGGCTCCGGCGTGGAGGTTGAGGAGGAGGACTCGGCAGCTTGGATGCGGCGACTCCTGGTCATGGGCGTGGTCATCGCGATTTCTTTCTCGTTACCGTTGGTCTCGTTGGCGGCACTGTTGCTGTTAGAGTTCACCATTCCTGAGTTAGATCGCAGTGTCCGTGTGGGCTTGGGAGGTTGGGGTTTCTCCTGCACTGCTGGAGGCTGCTCTTGAGCTTTTGGAGAGCCTTTCCCCGTCTGGTTCGAGGTGGACGATGACGATGATGTCACATCCGGGCTTCCCCTTGCTGGCGATCTCCGCCTTTCCAAATCGCGTAAGACAGGACTTTTGCGGTTGGTCGAGTCAGTGCTAGATGAGGCAGCGACAGAGTCTGTGATCCTGTTGGAGGTCGTGGGGTCCTGCTCAGCTGGTGTTTGGTTGTTTTCCGGAGGCAGAGAGGCACTTGTGGAAGAGACAGATGTCGGAGAGGAGGTGGCCTCTTTGGGCCGAGTTTGTGGGATGGTACTGGGATCCCGCGGTCTGAGCAGCAAAGCTTTGATTTCTCCGGCGTTATCGGCCGAGGATGGTTGCGAGACGATGTAGTATTCCCTCGCAACTGGGAAAGGTGATGCTCTTTGTTGGGGGTCTGATTTATGGCCATCCGGGGAGTTCTCCGCGAGCTCAACCTGTCCATTCTCGACAGCTTTCACCTCCGGTGATGGGGACTTGGACGAGGTACTGGCTTCCTCACTGAAGTGGCGTTCATCCTTAGAGGAGCGTTCATCCTTAGAGGAGCGTTCATCCTTAGAGGAGCGTGACCCCTGACTAGATTGACTTTGATGTCTGTGGTGTCTCCGATGTGATTTTTGATGCGAGCGATCTTTGTGTCTCTTTGGGCGATCCCGCCTCTCATGCTGCTGCTGCTGCTGCTGCTGCTGCACCTGAGGTTGTATAAGTCTATCCATACTTGAATCCGACTCACTTCCTAAGCGGCTATCAGCCATAGGCATGACTGGTTTGGTGTCTGTCCTCCACTCTGACACACTGTTTGTAGCCTGAGTGTCAGCACAGCCAGGCACCGGTCTATCGACTGGCTTCTGTTCCGTTTGGTAATTGGTACTGGTCAGACTCGCCGAGGTAGCTGATACTAAGCGGTTAGGGTGAGTGGACTGCGACGGCTGCACCGGCAAATCCTGCCCGACGACAACGTTACTGGATGGGCGTTGTTGCGAGTCAACAGACTCTGAGGGCGTGTCTGGCGCAATGCGGCTCTGCGCCTGTTGGAGAGGCAGTCCAGGCAACGACGACAGAGACGAAGTACTGAATGGAGCCAGGGGGCTCATTGAGGACGAGGAGGCTTTACTGTTCACATTCAAACTGGCTAGGGACGTGTCCTGCTTGCTGGAAGAGTTCTCCGGGAAAACAGAGCCTGATGATATACTAGCGGCATTCACACGCGGCTGCTGTGGCTGCTGGGCGCTGGAGTCTATCGTGGGAACCATGGCGTTGCTGACATAACTCGATTGCGGTAAAGTTCTTCCATTGGCGGTGTTCCACATGAATGAGGAGAGCGTGGATTCTGCCGTGGTGCTGTCCGCTTTACCTGAGGTCCCTTTGGTCTCGGTTGCTGCATTGGAGTCGTCCGACATGATCAAGTTCAAATCGCTCAGACTGCTGTCCGAGTCCTCTTTGGCGCCCGCTACCCTGGGCACCCCCGTATCACACATGGGGACAGTGTTGGATTCCTTTGGGGAGGAACGCGAGGCGTTGTTGCACACCTCTCCTTGGGACTTCAAGTCCTGATGCGAGTTCCGAACCTCGGGAACGACTACGCGCACAGGTTGTTGCTGCTGTTGCTGCTGCTGCTGTTGCTGCAGATGATGCTGCTGCTGCGGTTGTTGCTGCTGTTTAAGAACAGCTACATTAGGCGCAGCATTATTCAAAGGTTTTGTGTTTAAGTGGGGATCAAACAGATCGCTGTCCGACGTGGTTGTCGAGGTCATGGAGTTTGGGGTGGCTCGGTCGTTCAATTTGGGGATAGTTCTGGTGATTTCCATGATTGCCCCCTTGCCAGATTTGTCCGGCGACGCCCAGTGAATCGTTATCTTCTGCTCGTTGGGACTGCGATCCTGATGGTCAAACTCGTACGGATCGGCTAAAAGAGAAGAGCATAAAGATACAGTTACCACTACTAAATTACAGTCCAGAAAAGACAGGCCTATGAAATGGAGGAAAGGTGGGCAAACTAAAGAGCTTCAGATAAAAAGCACATAATATTAAACAAAGCCTACTTACGTCTAGCCTGGCCATTTCTGAGTTCATGACCGTCCACCGAGTCCACGCTCTCCGGTGACGTCGGCGGCCGGGCCTCGGCCAGGGAGGTGTCGCTGCTGGTCTCGATGATCTCATTCTTCATGAGGCTGCGGATCTCGGCGTTGCAGGCCAGGTCGATGGGGGCCTTGCCTCGCTTGTTGACCTGGAGAGGGTTGGCTCCGTGCTTCAGGAGTAGCTCCACCACCTGAGGGAGTCCATCAAGATTAACGACTGTTATTTACAAAATAATAACGATTGGCCCTAATCATGCTTTTTCTGATAACAAGAAATTCCAAAAGTGGGTGATTTCTGCTGATTTGCAGCTACAATCCTGGCCAAATCTTGCTGGGCCTCCAACCCCCCGGTCCCCGTTCAATGTTGTCTCTCATTGTGCGGTGTGTGCTCCATCAGCTGGAGAGAACAACATTGACCGGGGGAGCCGGGGAGTGGGTGACCATGGCAGGCTCAGCAAGTGTCCCAACCATTTTGGCCGGGATTGTAGGTTGTAGCTCTTGTTGTCTGTTGGACCAACAGGCTGCCCACTCAGCTGGTGTTACATTCCGCAGGGTCTCAAGAGAATAACTAGACGGGGTTAGGGTAAACTTGTCATAAACAGACAGATGTTGCAAGGTGTTTGAACTCTGTTGTCTTTGTACTGTCCTGAATTTATCAAAATCCACCCCCAGGTTTTGGAGTATTTGGCAGGATTCAGGACTATCAGGCGTAACTTCTTTCTTTTGAAATCTGGGTTTGTCTCTGCAGCTTTGTCGTTAGCTAAGGAATTCTTTATTCCCTGATGATTCCATAAAACGGTAGAATGCTTGGGCAGTTTGGGGCAGTACAGGGAGTAACAGGCAGGGTGGTTTAGGGCAGTACAGGGAGTAACAGGCAGGGTGGTTTAGGGCAGTACAGGGAGTAACAGGCAGGGCAGTTTGGGGCAGTACAGGGAGTAACAGGCAGGGTGGTTTGGGGCAGTACAGGGAGTAACAGGCAGGGTGGTTTGGGGCAGTACAGGGAGTAACAGGCAGGGTGGTTTAGGGCAGTACAGGGAGTAACAGGCAGGGCAGTTTGGGGCAGTACAGGGAGTAACAGGCAGGGTGGTTTAGGGCAGTACAGGGAGTAACAGGCAGGGTGGTTTGGGGCAGTACAGGGAGTAACAGGCAGGGTGGTTTAGGGCAGTACAGGGAGTAACAGGCAGGGCAATTTGGGGCAGTACAGGGAGTAACAGGCAGGGTGGTTTGGGGCAGTACAGGGAGTAACAGGCAGGGTGGTTTAGGGCAATACAGGGAGTAACAGGCAGGGTGGTTAAGGGCGGTACAGGGAGTAACAGACAGGGCGGTTTGGGGCGGTACAGGGAGCAACAGGCAGGGCGGTTTGGGGCAGTACAGGGAGTAACAGGCAGGGTGGTTTAGGGCGGTACAGGGAGTAACAGGCAGGGTGGTTTGGGGCAGTACAGGGAGTAACAGGCAGGGCAGTTTGGGGCAGTACAGGGAGTAACAGGCAGGGTGGTTTAGGGCGGTACAGGGAGTAACAGGCAGGGTGGTTTGGGGCGGTACAGGGAGTAACAGGCCGGGTGGTTTAGGGCGGTACAGGGAGTAACAGGCAGGGCGGTTTGGGGCAGTACAGGGAGTAACAGGCAGGGTGGTTTAGGGCGGTACAGGGAGTAACAGGCAGGGCGGTTTGGGGCAGTACAGGGAGTAACAGGCAGGGTGGTTTAGGGCGGTACAGAGAGGAACAGGCAGGGCGGTTTGGGGTAGTACAGGGAGTAACAGGCAGGGTGGTTTGGGGCAGTACAGGGAGTAACAGGCAGGGTGGTTTAGGGCAGTACAGGGGTTCATGTCCACGCGAAATGGCAGTATTCTTAGCTTTGATCCATGTTAGATGATCTGATGCTCCCAAATTGAAACATGGACCAGAATACTGAGCCAGAATACCCCAAGTCAGGGGCCTAGAATCTCTGACCAGAAGCTCCAGGCAAGCCCAGGTTCGGAAAAGCCCCTAAGTCAATTCCCCAAGAAATCAAGATGTCCAAGACTCCATTACCTTGACGTGGCCATTCACGGCGGCATCGTGCAACGGGGTGTCATCTTCTAGTCCCTGGGTGTTAACGAATGCTCCGGCCTTGAGAAGCAGCTTGGCAACCTCATAGTAGCCATGGTTACAGGCCTCGTGGAGAGGCGTCCAACCTGGTGACGGCAAAAACAATTTCTTTAGCGTAACAGATAAGAAAATCATCGCGCATATTGGAAGTTTTTTTAATATGATGAAAAAAAGGTAATTTTTCTTTGGTAAAGGGCACGTTTTTTTAACAAGTCATGCGGCACAAACTAGGGAACAATTTTATGGCGCATACTATGTACTACAGTAGATTGCTTACTATGGCAAGTACATGGTAATTTGTGCGAACCTTGTGCTAAACTTGTGCTAGCCACACTTGTGCACAGAGATTTTTCTAACTGAATCACTATCATGAGCAAATTCTTCTTGCGCAGTAAGCGTGCTTTTTGGTGCCGTGCTTACTGATTTACGGTTTCCGTAAAAAGGAAAAAAGGCTCAGCTAGCAGAAAATGGTGCCTGGCAGAGCAATCGAATTGGGCCAAGAAGCATTAGGGCTTGCCTGCATTAGGAATTGCCTGCAGTGCCCATTAGAGTTCCAGAGCTGCACAATATTTATGATGTTCTACATTTTACTGTGGTATTTTAAAACCTCTAAAGTCCTTTTTTGATGGGGATTATTTAACCTACATTCGGAATTTTCTAGACTTAGGCCGTGAATGATTGAAAGAGGACAACCGAAAGATGGTCAGGGTGAATCCTTTACAGTGGGTACTTAGAAAACTTCAGATATTCCGCTGAAAGAGGCTTATTTAGTACACGAGTTGCAGTAAGGATTCCATTAGGGGAAACCAAAAGCGGGGTTTATCGAGTGATCTCGTGATGTGTATCTGCCAGGGTTGAGTCATTCCGGTCTCTGCCCTCGAGCCCTGGGACAAGAGTGCTACAGACCCACGGCGTGAGTCACTTCATGACATCATCGCGTCATTTACAACAGGTGTGAAGCCTAACCCACCTGTACGGAGTGTCTCATAAGTTGTAGTTTTGTACAAATTCGGATGAAGTCATCAGGACCGCAAATATGAACAAAAGGCAATCTGAGAAATAATCGCCCGGCCACTTTTACCAGATTTTGAGGGATTTCGTGATGTAAAATAATTAATAGTTTACATCACTAGATGACATATCCAAGTTATTCCAATTTTTATTTCTGTAACAAGTAATGTTATTATATTCAAGTAAAAAATTGCTGAATCTTTTGTGCACCACAGTGAAAATACATTAAGTAAATATTCAAAATTTAGTGCAAGAATGTGCCTTTGCTTTACATCACAATACATATCCTTTGTTTTGCAGCCACCTTTGGAATTGTGTGCCTTTGTTCCACAGCACCTGTCTAAGCAGACCTTTCGCGCATTCATTGTTACTTAATTAAAAGAACAAAAAACACCTTGAAGATGGCTGGCGAAAACAGAGAATGCATTCAAATTTAGAAGATTTGGAAATCCTTTAGGGAAAATCTATTAGCCTTTTCCAGATATTACGGAGACAACTTGAGGGCGCTATTGGAAATGGCTAACTTTGGCTAAATAAAAAAGAAGTTTAACCCCCCCCCCCCCCCCAAATAATGCCCTTGTAATGTGTCCATCTCTCAAAAAGGCTTACTTGGAGGGGGAGGATGGTGTGAGGGTTTGAATTCTGAAACTGACCTGCAAAGTCTTGCACGTTGACCTCCGCCCCCTGCTTGATCAAGTTCTTGGTGGCCTGGACGTCGCCCCGGATGGAGGCTAGGTGGAGTGGGGCCTCCCCTCGCTCGTTGCGCTTGTTGGCCTTGTTCTTGACGCCGCCCACCGATCCCGGGGTCGTGAGGGGCTTGGCTGGAGGGTGATTGACGACTGCGTAACAAGAAATAAAAAAGTTAGAAAATAAACGACTGACATGGAAGCTTCTCCTGAATTTATGACGATATGAATCATCGGGGTGTGAATCAAATGCTAAGGAAACTAGACAATTTGGACATTGGCAAAAAGTCGGTTAAAGTCTGTCGATGAAACGCACAAGTAGGGTTATTTGATGCACTAGTATTCATTTTCAAGTAAAGGTCCTAAAATCAATTACTATTACAATGGCATTTATTCTAAAAAAAAAACTGAAAAATATTTTTAATTTTAATTTTTAATATTTTCTGTACAGCTGAAAGCCATATATCCAAATTTGTTCCAAATGAATACATTCTAAAAAGCAAATATCGAGCTAAAAAATAAGGTGATGATGGTTCCACATTCAACAGCTCTGACAGAATTAAATATAAATTGTATTTCAGAGCTTTCTCTCGCATACTGAATACGATTTTGTTTCAAGACCGCCGACATGTACGACTACAAACATGGCCAATTAGTCTCACTTGGGCATTTTTTAGCCTCGACTCTGATAATTGGAAAATGTACACCGAGGCAGCCATTCTTGCATCGAAGCCCGATTCTAAGCTGGGCAATTACATAAATTTCTGACATGCCTATGTCTGATATATCATGGCCCGGTCATTATTCTTACTTGGGCCATGATTGGGCAATTGTTCAAATTTCTGCCACTTCCACTGATGCTGTTATATCTTGTACGGCTCATTATCCATACTTGGGCCGTGATTCTTACCTGGGCTGTTGTTCTCTTCGTTAGCCGTCATCTGCATGAGCAGAGCCAACTGTTGCCTCTCCGACAGTGGGATGGAGCGCCCCGGCGTTCCCAGGAGAGTCGGGCTGCCCGGCTGGGACGTGGGCTTCTTGCGCTTCGGCGTCGGCTTGGGCGGCTTCTTGTCTGAGATGGAAAAAAAATATAATACAATTTTATGAAGGTAAATCTTCATTAAAACCCCCATGTTATTATACGAACTCTCTAACAATATGCATCATCAAACAAATATATTGCGTGGGTGCATTGTTCTAATGACTGCAAGGCTGTACGGGGCACGGTATCATACATGTTCACTGAGGCTATAATTAAAACATAAATCCAAAAATTCAAGGCTTCCAACTAAAATAAAGGCCTGTCATCAAGTACAATTTGCCTTTCTGTTCAGGACGACAATTCCATTTTTTCAGCCTTTAATCTCTTAAATAGAAGTTAAAAAAAAATTGCAAGATTACTTTTTAGCCCCGTGTTTTGAGGAAGACTTTTCTAAGACTTCGGAGACAAAATTGTAAACAGGGACCCATTTTTAATATTCTAACAAAAGAAATTTTTTTCACAAACATGTGTATTTTAATTTTCTATTTTCGTTCATTCATTTGTTTCATCGGTGTTTTACCGAATAAAAATTACATCAATTTCATTCTGTTTTTCAAGTGGATAACAAAAAACAGCGGAGTTTAACATTTTCTTTAACTTATAAGTATTTTTTTACAAGGGGATGGGGGAGGGGGTAATGTATTTATAAGGCTTCCCCCCCCCTACTTCCTGCTTACGCAAATGGACTATCTCTCAATGCGACAGTGGAAAACACGCAACAACATGTACAGGACTTTTTAAAAATAACAGCGGTGTGCCGGGCAACGTTTCCATCTACTGACGTCAATTGACAGACTAAGGGTCCTTAGTGTTGGCTGCAAATATACTCGCTTAACACACGGACATCATCAACATCCATTGTCTACGCATGTATCTATACTCTGAGGGAATGAAGCTCTCAATTATACCTATTCAGGGTTTTTCTTTTCCAACAGATTGTATTTTCTTTAGATAGAAATCTTTGTTCATCAGCGTGAGCTTGGGAAAATTTCTTTGTTGTAACTCAATAACGAGACTTAGTGACTGATGTATGGAAATATTTATTTATATATACGGGAGTGCTTTTTTTATTTCTGTGATTCTCATATTTTGTTACCGCTGAAGCAGGATCGGTTGGTCGGCGAAAAATTAAAAACTGAAAGAATTTTTTTTTTTGGCTGTTGCAACCATATACCAGTAGATGGCTAAATTAAATGATACCAAGTGCATTTCATCTCGTTTGTTTATTGCAATGAAATATATGTAAAGCCATCATTGGCACGATGTAGTTGACTTATTATTGGGATCAATATCTGCACAAGGCAGCTCACCAACGTTTAGGCTGTAGTGGCGGCCATGACATAACAGTATTAACCCTAATAATCCCAAATCCTCCAAAATCCTTTTTGCAAATTGGAGGAATTTGCAGGATTGAGGTTACATGGCAAAAGTGCGTTGCTGATTTCGGAGTGCGCACTGTGTCAAGGTCTTGGGCCGGACCTTGTGTTGTTTATGCTCAGCCGTGCATAAATTTAGTCCTTGATTATACTTGAAATCCTCCACACTGCACCAAGATGTCACTGCCTCTGCCTCGGCCTATTGACAGTCATAGCCAGAGGATTTTGCAGGATTCAGGCAGTGGTCACCTCTCCAGGGACCATATTTAAGAAATAACGGAGGAATTTGCAGGACTGAGGCGGTATGCTATTTCGCCTTGAGGCCAATTGGAGGATTTTGCAGGATTGAGGCTACATCCTAGCAAAAAGGATGGGATTTAGGGTTATTAAGGTTAACTATAAACCCCTGACATGATGAGAGGGAACACCCTCACTTCTTCTGAGATTGCACTGTTTGCCATACGCTGTACTTCTAGTAAAATCAAATATTATTTTTCACAGCTTTTCAAATAACAGACAGCCAGATTTCCTGAATTTGATATTCTTTTTTTTCTCTCAATAATTATTTTTTTTGTTAGTGGGGCTCCAGACAGGGTTGGCGGTAATATAAAAGTTGTTTGTTTTTCTTGGATCCGGGGCCCAAAATAGGGTCGAAGAATAAAAAAAAAAGGGATTCCCTAAACTTGACTTAAACGGGCAGAAAATGTAAACATTACATACAACTTACGAGACTTACAATGTACAAGCCATACAAGACTTTAACTAATGTATTTCTCAATGGACATACTATCAAAAATTAAAAATATGTTGTTACAAAACCAAGTACTACACAGGAGAACCACACAACAGTTGACAAAGTACGATACCATTATACCGACTGGTGTGAAAGCTGATTTCACTTTACTCTAAATTCAATTTTACACAACTGTATCCAAATGTCTACACCATGTATATAATCCTTCTTCACAGTTCATTGTACAAATGAGATTCAAAAACCAAGCAAACGAAGTAGAAGTGCATTTAAACTCAACAAAGCAATGGACCTTTTATTTTTCCTCTTTTTTTTTCTGTCTTTCTTTTCTTCTTTATAGTTGGTTTTCAAATGTCATGCAAATTCATCCACACGGTTGAATGCCCCACTCTTCAATTATGCTCTGTACATCTGTCAGTGACAACAGCTACGCACTGTTTAAGCCTTGGCTAATCTAATCAAGGGCCGGGCTGTTTTGTACCATAGAAAGAAAAAAAAAAACACGAAAGAAAATAATCAAAACAGAAAAAAAATTATCCAGTCAAGAATGCATTCTTTAAAGGCCCAGGAAGTAATAACTGAGGATTGTTGATTGATATGGCATATGCAGCATGGAACTCACCTCGGGGTCAAGTCTGAGACTACCAAGAAATTAAAGGCGTCAAGGGTAAAAACTAGCCCGACAGTTTGTGTTAAATATGTCACAATCCTTGCAACAAATATAAAGAATTCCAGATAATTTTGTTGATTATATTACACAGTAAGGTACATTTACCCCAGGTGTGGGTAAACTCCAGTGAAAAGGTATACTTCTGGTACATCTACATAGTAATTTACAGTAAAAATAAACTAAAAAGAAATCATGTTCCTCTTGGCAATTTTGTTTATCAAATCTTATGTCAACATTCATTTTTTCAAACCAAAACTGCCCAACCTTTCATAAAATGTTCTCAAATTGAGTCATGAGCATTATCATTGAAGACATTTTTAATTCACATGAAAATTCTGGATCCTTGTTGCACAATGTACAAGGCCAAGGCTGGGCATGTATGGCTGAGTATATGACAAGTCAATTGGAATCGGAATGCATCAAACAAAACACAATTTCAATTGGATAGCCATGTGTTTCAAGAAAGTAATTACATATATTGACAAAATATTTTCAAACAAATATTTCTCACAGGAATAGAAAATGCACCCGAGTCTTCAAGAAAACAGTGCCGTTTCCATCAATTTCTCTTATTTTCTGCCTCAGTTTTTGAGCATAGTCCGCGTATCTCTCTTTTCAAAAGAACAACTGCAAACATTTTTTTTTCTTCAAATTTCATATTTACAATATACAATTGTATAGAGAGAAAGGGTCACAGTCTTGCGCATGTTTTTCTCCGAGATATATTTAGCGTGGACTACAAGCGATTGTTATCAAACCAGAGATAAAGAAAAAAACAGGAAAGGGTAGGGGGAAAACAAGGCTCTTGAATTTATATTTAGCGTCTTCTCTCAGAAGCTCGGGACAAATTCCTCCAACAGCAGTGCAATCAATACACTATCCGCCATGAATCTCTGCACGAGTTATCAGAGATCTCGTCGAATCTTTGGTGGATTACGTACGGAGGAAGCCACAAGGAAAGGGAATCAACGAGGACAGATTTGCAGATAAGGGGCAGAGGAAACAAATCAACTTATGAAAAGAGATGGTTTTGGATATTTCAGGCAAACAATACAGAAACGGAGAGAGCTTAGAAAGAGCAAGGCTGAAGAAGATAAATACGCTATTGGTTTTAGCAAAATGTACGAACAAAAATCTTCTTATCTGTGCGCATGGATTTTTTAAAGCCATTTCCAAATTACTTTTAAGAGGGAAAAAACACTGTCTACATATGTACAGTTTTCAGAACTTGATTGAGAAACAAATTATGTGGAGGGACGTTGGATAATAGGAAAAGAAATCTGAATGGCAGTAGAGTCATTGGAATATTAAAAGCAACATTAAGGGAAAGTACATTTCAAAATGCATAATTTCTGAATCTCGATGGGAAATTTGATAAGTGTCTTTTCTGTTTGATGAGGAAATTCAAATTAGTCAAATTGCTTTGCGGCTGATGCATGCCTGGATTTTGTGAGGGAGATTGGAACACGGAGGAAGGAATGATTGGAATAACAGGATAGCCAAAAAAAGACTAAAAAAAAAAAACTTCACCAAAACATCCCCTTTTTTTTTCATCCATCATTATGATACTTCACACATTTATGAAACCATAATCTAATGATTGATTTAACTTAACTCTTTCACAGTTTACTTTTGCCATCTAATGTTCAAGTCTAATATTAGAAACATTACTATTTATTTTATTTATTTTATGTCTTTCTGGTAATGAAACCAAGTATTCCTCAAAAGTGCCCGAGGCACTGTAGCCCGAAAGCCTGACGAAACAATGAGAAGAAATGACAGTTTTAGAGGTGGGAGGAAAAGCCCAGAAGAATATTCTGGGGAAAACCCACAGAATCAGGTAGGGACTGAAAACCCAATCCACATATTGGCCCAGGCGGGATTCCAACCCCGGTCACAGCGGTGGAAATCGGGGAAAGTACCGCTACGCCAATCCGACTCCCCTTACAGAAAAATTACTACATCAGATGAATTAAGCTGGGCAATCTAGTCAATTAAAAAAACAGCAATATTTCTTGGCGAAAAAAAAAAAAAACATGAGTAAAAAAAAAAAAAAAAATGCAGCATAAATATAACATCATTTCCTTCCAGTGCGATATTTTTAGTTTGTTCTGGGGCCCAAAATGTATGGAGGGCAATCGCGGAACCCTTTAATAACATAAGCCGTGTCCCTCCAGGAAAGTAAACCTTTCAACATATGTTTCCTTTGGCAATTCAGAGAGCAAGATATAGGTCAAGAGTCTCCATAAAGGCTTTTGCGTAATTTAATTATGATGCCTAAAAAAAAATTCCTCAGATCCACATACATATGGACAGATTTGGTGCACGTTTTACGTACACGTGCATACAATGCACATGTTCATTATGCACATGTAAATGCACATGTTTGCATACAAAATGTATACATGTACATGTATACCAGAGTAAGTGTACAGATGAATAATTTTGAAGCTACTCAACGCCAATGAATAAAATTGTTATCAAATAAAATAAATTAAAATAATATTTACTGTCTGCCCAGGAAATTTTATTCATGAGGTCCGGGAATCCAATATTTTATGACAAAACAAATTTTTTTAGTCAATTCTACACGGACAGTAATTAACAGCAACAAAAAAATATTGTCTTAATCCTTGGAGAAATCAAAAGAAGAATTGTGTAGTAGCGATATGTGGGTAGGAATAGTTAAGACGCAAACGAGTGGGTGAAGGATAAAAAAAGAAAAGAAAAGGAAAACAACTTTGTTTGTGTCTACGTCACTAACCCACGTCAAAGGCTCGGGAGAGAGACGTTTGGACAGAGCTCTGAGAAGAAAACATACAAAAAAACAGTCTGGCCGAACTGACCAGCATGTCCGAGAGGAAAAACAAGGCGGGTTGGGTAACCCAATGCCTCTGCCCTGCCATGCCAGCCAGCCTGAGATTGAAGAGGGCCGTTGAAATGCTAACATCTCATTGGAGCCAAAACGGGACCTACAAAAATAGGTTTGACCAGTGAATTCGCAAGCTTGTTTGAATCGTCTGTTTTCTAGTCTGATCTTCTTTTTTTTCTTCTCACTCTCCGCACCGTGCCGCAACTCACAGAAGGGCAATTATAAAAGAAAATGTAATGTCCGTGACAGAGCCAATTAACCGTGATATCTAACGAGTGATTCAAAGAAATGATCCCAAACTTCTAGTCTGTAATCTCCTTGACCATTACCAGATGATGGATGTATAAGATTTGAGTGATACGTTTTCAGGTTTATTCACTGAGCTCTTGAAGTACCCAAAAGCCTGATTTGTAATGTCCGTGATGCTGGAAATGCCAAGGATTAAAAAAAGTAGTATTTTTTTGTAAATGCCCTCGACATGTAGTTTTATTACATATTTTATCAAGCACTTCGAAGGCAAAATGCCCCAACCATTTTGTTTTAAATAAAAGCAACTGCACACAAATTTAAAACGGACGTCCTGTGCGTATGCTCCTGAAGATTGTGGAATCTCAAAGGGGTAGAATTTGAACATGAATCTTGACAGTTGATTTTTTTTCCCCCCAACACGCCAACATGAATCAGACCATTAATTTTGCCCACTTCAAACCCTCGTGCAATTATCCATTTTCATACATCTCTCCGCCGGGGTGTCTTACTACTTACAATGCATCCCACGTTATCGGCGCCGAAACAACAACCGAACAACCAAGATAAATGCGATACTTGTACCTTGATCTTTTGAAAGGGGCACATTAAGAGTTCTATTTCAATCCTGGGGCCTGGTTTTGTCACTTTTTTCTTTTCTTTTTTGGAATGACGACAGACTTGGTTTTTTGGTAAGAGCTGTGTTCGGAACATGATGGAGGGGGTTAGTTTGGTAAGTGTAATCCCTGAAGTGTTGGGGCAGAGTGAAATGCCATCAGCTAAATGTCAGGCCCGGCTGTAAAAGCATTCCATTCCCACCTTGACAACAGAAATGGCTCCGACGGACAAAAAATATTACTGAAAATGGCACATCCATTACATTATATTACAGTACATTACATGATATTACTCCAACAAATTCAATTACTGGTTATTGGTAAAACAGGCCTGAAATTGAAAGAACGACATTGAATCACCGACCGTAGACAAAAATTGGTGCAATTGATATTATCAACCATTATCAAATTTCGTTCTCAAAATACACTTATTTGTCAAGCCTTTCGACTAAGTGACCCATTTTGATGTCAGCCCTTAATATGCACTTTTCTTTTAATATCTTTAATATTGGGTGACAGTACCGCACAGTATGCAAGGTATTGACATTAAACAAAAATACCCCTTGAACGGTGTCAGATTTAGAAAACCTGGACTAATTTGAACACACGAGGGCTCACACATGTCAACACAATGTGCATGTACATGTACTGTTTTGGACAGCGTACATGTACATGAATGTATTTTGGGTGTATCGTTGAATAGGCATGAACATTCCAATGTAGGCCTATAGGTACATGTAGACTTTAAGATTCTACTAGCTTGAGATGCACACCTTTCAAAAGGATTTCCTCGAAATTTTTTTTCTGTTAAAAATACGAGTTGATCTTAATGAGAGAGTAAGTAACGTGGTTGGAGTTCTACAGATATCCCCCCTTTTTCTGAACTGTAAAAATCATTCTTAATGCGAAAATTCTAACATCAATTTCTGTTATCAATGACGTGGCAACACTCAATCTCAAAAGAAGCCGTGTGAATATATCTATCATTGCAATTGTTTCAAATTTGAATCAGAATATTTGCTTCCTACCTTCAGCCCCTTCCCCATTGACACCAGTGAAGAGTTTGCGTTTGAGGGTTTTACCCCCCTCCCCCTTGGTTGCCATGGGAGACTTCACCCCTCCTTGCTTCTCCTGTCGAAGAAACAGAAAAGGTATCAAATGGAGTCGCTAATTCATCGTGAAAATTCAAAACAGAAAGTAAAGACAAACAGAACAGAAATACCAATCTTTCAAAAACAACAAACATGGGAAACAAAAAGAACATCTTTTTTTTCTTCTTGCGTTACATGCACTCATTACAATTTTAGCAACCCGCGCCCGCTAAAACAGCAAGAGGTCTTGAAAGACAGGCAAACAGATAGACAGTAAAACCGACAGAAAGTGTGACAGGTACACCATTAGACACAATACACAGCCAGACACAGTGACAGTGATAGTTGGGGTAACGGACGAGCCTTTTTTATCCACAACGCTTTTCGCATTCAGGTAATAACAAAATGTCTGAAGTCTAAAATTAAATTGTGAAAAGAAAAGAAATGTTTTTGAATTATTTTTTCTTTTTCAACTAAATTAAGGTGGTCAACAAAATTGAGTTTCCCTGGCGACCGGCAACTTGAATGTAAACAAGTTTCATCTGCCCTAATGAAATGTCACGTTAGACAGAAGTGACTAGTGGCCTAATACAATTTTTTAGCTGGATGGGGAAGAGAGACAATATGTAAGTGTTCTCTGTGATTCATGGTCAATTTAAAAAATGTTGATTCTTTCATAAAAGAAAAAAAGAAGGAACCGAATAAAAAAAAAATTGCAATTATCCCTAACTCCCTAGCGTCTTTCACTAGAAACTGGACCAATTCCATCAAAATCCATCAATCACTGTGCGTCTTATACAAAACTGTACATGACATAATGGAATCCACCACTGACGCACTGGTCGACATTCATGGACTTGCTACACATGGCTTTTATCACAATAGCAGTACAGGAAGCTAGGCCAGACCTGCCAACCTGTGAGATAACAAAACTGTATTCTGAAACTCAAAAACCTGTATTTTTCCTTAAAAACCTGTATTTTTTTGTTTTAATGCACAAACGAGCTTACAAAGGTTTAATGTTGCTGCAGTGCAATTCCACGTGGTGTGAGGATTTTAGCAATACCTAATTTAAAAAAATTGAGCAGAGCTTTGCTGTATTCAGGGACTTTTAAAAAAAGGGCCCGCTGAAACTAAGTCATCATTTTTAGTAATAGGTAATAGCCTAGGTAACATAAAAAAATAATTTTCAAATTCAATTCAATGAATTCAATTCCATTTAAAATTCAATTCAATTCTATTCACAACTGACTATATATCGAAGTAAACTTAGTTAAGACCTTTCTCAGTTAGTTGGATTACGGATTTGGTTCCCTGGGTCGGGCGGTGAGAGGGAATTTATAAATTAAAAAAAAAAATCAACGCCCTTTACAGCGCGCCCGTAATAGTGCGCCCAGTTTTCGGACACAGTATTCGTGTTCGAACAAAACGTCGTCATTCAGTTTCACTGCACGAGTTTATCACATTAAAAGTACATAAATAATGAAGGAGAAAGTCTGCAGACTAAGCAAACTGTCATTATTTATCTTGTTCCAAACTATGTTTGCTTAAAAAAAAAGTCGTCGCTTCAATACCTGTCATCGAAAAGTACGCGAGCATTAAGCTGTCGATGCATACTCCGATACGGTCGCATGGTCGGTGCAGCTGGTACCCGGCCCGTTAGGCCCAAGATATATTTGTTGACAGGAACCAGTGCACAAACGTAAAACACGTTGCTGCGAGCATGCTACATCCTGATAAATAAGGGCGCCAGCGTGGTGGGGCGGCCGTACTCAATCAACGATCAGGGCATGTGGAAATGTACGGACTACGGTGATTTCTTTCTCTATTTTTTTCCACTAGACGCCAGGATTCCAGTTTAAAAGTGAATCAAAAGCTTGTGGTTACTAGGGAGGCATTTTTTGAGGAATTCTTTTTGGGGGGCGGCGATTTTTCAAAATTATTTCCCCCGACGTTATATGCCCCTTAACGTTACAACTTATTTTAAAAATGCCCTAATCCACCTAAAACTGTATGGCGAGTAAACTTCAGTAAAAACTCACAAAACCATTCTGATTAATAATAATAATATTAGGCCTACTAAACGAAGAGACGAACGGCATGTTATGTTCGATAACATACTCAGTCCTAGCCCCACTAGTGTGGCCGTCGGTATGCTGCGCTGAACCCAGCGCAGCATACCGACGGCCACACTAGTGGGGCTAACTCAGTCCATAAAGTTTCCGCTCTAATCAGATCATAGTCTGTTGGCATAAATTGTCTAACAGAGCGATTAGCACTCTTACTCGGCAATATTTCGGTGCTTGGTCGTTTCAATGTGCTGGGTAATATCATATGATCCACTATGACCGATGCTAAAATAGGAAATACACAACCATGACAACGTACACCGTGCGTAATTCTCTCCTCTCTGGGACGGCTGGATGAAATCCCATTTCTCGGTGTACTCTTTTTTGTACAGTTGCTTCCTTTTAATATCTTTTTTGGAGGTCGAAGCCATATTTATTTCACGCCAGTGCTGCTTTCGAATTCCACGCTCAATTATCCTCAGCTACACATGTAGCTAGTTGCACATGGTATGCGCAGTATATGCCTAACGCTTTTGTATGCAACGATCCGATTGGTTAATACGCCCGGTCCATGCGTTTGTTTACATCCCATGCACCAATCACAGACACCCTAGCTTACTTGATCGCGATGTCGAGCCTCGTGTCTCAACGTAGTCTACGTTCGCAGCCGTTTTTTTTCTTCTTGCGCACTCTTCACTCGCAGCCGAACTAGGATTTTTTTTTGGCGTGTCAAAATGGTCAAAACCCGTATTTTATGGAGAAAAAACGTACGGCCGTATTTTCAATAAATTCCCGTATTAAATACGGCAAAACCGTACTGGTTGGCAGGTCTGCTAGGCAAAATCAATCGGATACCCCTAGCACTGCTTCAGGCCATTAGGCCCAAGTCCATCATACTCCATCAACATTTAGTCACGCCAGGCCTTCTGGACCAAGTCCCCCGAAATCCACCAAAATGGGGGGATGGATTTTGATGGAGTTGGGGTGGTTATCTATGGGGTGGGGAATGGTTAAGGGAGGGGTAGTGTGAGTAGAAGTGGATAATTGAGGCCGGTGGATGGTGTGACAATAAAATAAGTGAGAAAACTTGCTCCACAACCTCCCCCCTCCCCCATACCCCTCTCATCTTACCTTCCTATGTGGAGAGGTCTTCTCAGCCATTCCTGAATACTGGACCATAGATCTTGCTCGTTGGGAAGTAAGACGCGCTCACTTGTACACTGGCAAGAAGTGGTCATCAGGGGGTTGCGTTCCGCGTCCGAGGAGATTTCTGTCGCATCGTGGACACTACCTCAGCTCCTCCATCCTGCGGCCGGCTAGTAGCAAGTGACGATCCTGCGTAGGCCAAGACAAGAAGGAAACAGATGACGTGAATTAGGAGTCTTAATCAGACCAGGTGTAACATGGATGGAGACACAGGAAGCAGTGTGTGTAGATTTACATATCCGGCTGAATCGATCTGCGTAAAAACGGCTCGGTTTTTGAATGTCGCCGACAGATATACAAAGTAAGCCATCTCGTGAATCCCAAAAGACCCTGCACCTGCAATCGCTGGAAATGGACAACACTAAAGATTTGCAAATGAAGTGTATTGCCATCAACCAAAAAATAGCCTGTCATCTCTGTATGGTTTGAAATGCAACTGAATGCCGGGTCAGAGTCACAGTCAATATACTACTTTGCATTTTAAAGGAACGACGAAATAAACTCTTGTGTCTCGACTTGGTCAGACCGTAAAATGTGTTGCTCATGAAAAGTACTGTTACTTCAACCGATCATTGCGTAGTCGTGATTTTACCAAATCTTCTGAAAATACAGGAAGTCCTTTTGTTTTTTTAAAACCAAAAACTTTTTAAAAAATTCCCTCGAACAAAGAATGCATGTACAATTTGCGTACATTGTATTCATTCAAAGGATGTCGAATATAAAACGTTTTCAAGGAATAGAGCGCGCTTACTGTGATAAAAGATTCCTTGTGCATAAGGCCATTTACGTACACATATTGGTACCTGGTACATTTCCTAAGTTCGATCCTTTAAATCCAGTCACAAATTTCTGAATTAACATGACAAGTCCTTTTCACGCTGGCTACTCAACTTGAAAGCCTGCCAGCTTGCAGCAAAAAGGGTGTGCTCACAACACCAGACAATCGACAAACAAGGCCCAAAGAAAAAAAAATCTGAATAATAATAGACCCATGACAGTTTGAATGGCGCTGTCAGTTTTTCTAGCCTCTGGACAAATTCCATACCTGAATTGTCTCCAAGGTCGTTATGCACTTTTCCCTACTGTTTGCTACACAAAAGCCGCGGCAATAATAATCTCAATCTATCTTCGGTTCCGAATTCTTGATTGGTGATATCACTCTACCGGCACAAAAACCTTTTCAATATGATGGTAGGGTTAATGCAATTTACATGTACATGTACATTGTGGTTGTGTAACCATTATTTCCCCTATGTACAGTACATGTACACGGACCATCTGCGTACGGTACAACAAATAAGTTGCAATGTACAATTTAATTATGTGCAATGTATGCGTACACACAATATGCACATGTAACATGCAGATGTCTTGTTGACAAAAATTTGTTACAAAAAAAACCTAACATTTGAAAAAAAAGATTTAGAGTCCAGGAACAATAGTTTTGTATCACTTGGCTAAGCATGAGTTAACCTTTTTGGCGCATTCATTGTTCCAATTTAAAAAAACTGAAGAACAACTTCTAAAGTACTGCAACGCATAAAGTCTACATCATCAACTCAAGCTTTTCAAAACCTGCAATACTTCTGATGTACAAGCCAACTGGTTTAAGGGCAGGATTCAAAATTTTCTCAAATTTCAGAACACGATCTTGACGCAGTACAAAAAAAGAAATATCTCCCTGCGATAAACAGGATAAAACTTTAAGAAAGACAGAAATCTCGCATTTTATACTTTGAGAGAACTTTCCACAGTACGTTGGGGGATTTAGAGAGATTTGAAAGTCCAACCGTCTCCTTGGCTGTCATCTGATACGGATTGGATTCTATTTTGGCTCAAGATCTGGCCTCGAGGAAGGACACGATTACTGCGTCAACAAAACAACGCACTTCATTTCAAGCTGCGACTCGTCCTTTGCGTGGAAAAAAAAATACGAGAAATAGTCGATGGCTTATCTTCTGAGCCCTTCACAAAAGATGTTTTGAGAAAAAAAAAATTTTACTTTTGTACAGAACTACAGATCATGATGCACCGTACAACATGTAAACAGCATGAAAAATTGATGTTTACTTTTTTTAATAATGGTTTCATATTCTCTTGTGCTTGCGTACGTTGTATATAATGTCTTTAAAATGTTAAAGCTTCCCCCATTGTTTCATTGCCAAAACTACACCAGTACATGTTTATGTTCAGCAAAGACAATGACCAAACATGATGCATATTATAAGATGCAAACTCAGCACTGACTCACAGTGAGACTTTTATTGTGGGCATGTTTTTACAGTTGCTTTATACAATTTGCGTATAGTTTGAGTTTGGCTTGGAACTTTTATTTTAGTGTTACTGTGTAGTTCTTCATGTGGACCAACGGATTTAAAGTTTAATCTCACTGAAAGCAGCCTGAATTTGGACAATGATTAAAAAAGTGGTCACTGCCACTTCACGAAATACATGCAGAACAGCAAAGTTGTAACAAGGTTTAACCTACTGGTCTAACAGAATAACAGTGTTGCCAACATCAACAACACAAAGTAAAGGGCAGGCAGCATTTGGATGTACAACAGCCCCTACAAGTATCTAAACCCTTTCAATGGGGCACTGCCCAAAACCACAAAATAGCACTGACCTCAACCCGAGAAATATGGTAAACCAACAAATTCCTCTTAGGGGGGTGAACTTTCGGAAAGGGCTCAGTCCAATTAAATACCCGACACTAAAAGTACTGACAGTGAGGTGGTAAAAAAAAAATTCCTCTAGAATTAGGAAACCCAAGAGGGACCGGAATGCACTTGACCCCCGAGTGACCTTAATTATGCGGAAAGCCGCAGAGTTCACCAGACCCTAGTGACCTGGGACGTGTTTTGAAGGGATAACGGTTATTAAGTTTCCTGTCGCGCTCAGATAAGAATGATTTTAGGGGTTTTTTTTATGGGAAAGGAACGATCGCGAATGGTGAACTTTATCTTCTGGAGATTGGGCGTGTTTTGTTTATTGAAAAGAAAAATATGGCGCTGCGAACAAAATGATGAATGGTATTGATGACTGATTCTGAATGGTCAGTTAATGTCAAGTGTCAAAACGATACAGCCTGTATTTCTCTCAATAGAGAAAGATAGATTAATACATTTACAAATAATATAAATTTGTATCCCTCTTGTAAGTAGATAACAAATGGCATATATACTTGCACATTAATAGAAAAAAAACCTAAATGCTGATTGTTTTATCCATGGGCTTTTAAAATAATATAGTACAGTGGAACGCCGATATGGTGCTACATGTATAACAAACAGCGCGGGATCCACAGAATCTATTTGTCATAGGGATCATTCGGAATAGCGATTTCGAGCCGCTGGTAACTACTTAAAATGACGTCTGTCCGACTGTCCATTTAAATAGCGCCCTCTTGTACCCTACTTGAAGTACGCCCTCTTTTGACTGGATTTTCCCTCCTGTTCCTTGGAAAAATAATCGCCACCTATCACTCTTCAACATTCAAACACAACGTAAGTTACCATGGGTCGTTTGATGTTCAGGAAAGACAAAATGGCCCAAGTAGCAGTTAATATAACCGGTAGATTTTTTTGGTTAATCTGTTGACTTTTTCAACAACAATGTTCGGTATGGATAAAAACTGGGAGCCGAGGATGACGTTCGGTCTAGCCGAATGTTCAGTGTAGCGGCCTTCCCCTATGGGTTCCGTGCGCCGACGAAAGAGGGCGCCCTTTTACCATGGGCATGACATTTCGCTGGTTGACGCGCACCGTTCCTTGTGTGGGACGCACGTACACCAGGGGATTTGTACTACGTACACGCAGTGGCTGCGCATTGCGGCAAATGAATTGCAGTCAGACAAGATGGCGTTGGTCGGTCACCCCCAACTGTACTTTCTTTGCCAGTGACGGGGTACTTGTGAACAGAGCGGACACAAGTAAACGATAAGCAAACAAAAATGCAATATGCTATACTTCCGTTATGACCTATATCTAGGGGAAACATAAGATCGATACATGTGCATGTACACGCAAGTGTCAAAAATGAAATGCGGGTAAAAAAAAAGTGAATAATTTATACAACAGATCCCGTGCAGTGAAGCGTGCATAATTACATGCGCAAAACACTCCAGGGGATACCATTCCACATGAGGACGTAACGCACTACTGCTCCTGACCTTACATACCAGCATATTAAATACAGGCCAGTGTAATAAAGAGCCTTGCAGATCCACTCAAGTGTGAAACGGTTACCGTTTCGGCTACATGTTTTAAGGTATATCGGAAATTGTATTTAAATCCACCTGCACAAAAACTGACAATACCGGTTCCAAGGCCTTAAGTTTATTTGAGACAACCAAACATTCAAAATTTGTTTTGTTTTCAAGTATTGACAATGTGAAGGTTTTGAATACATGCAATGACTTGGAGGTGCATTTGAAATCTACAATGTTCACAAGTAATAATTTTCACTTTGAACTTCCAAAAACAAATGTAAACATGGTTTTGATTTTGACAATTACATGTGCACTGGTACCTGTGCAACACAGAGCTCAGACCATGAGATCTGTTCAATGCTTGAACAATTTTAAGGTCGAACAAAGAAATTGACCGGAGCGGGGATTGAACCTGCGGCCTCCGGACAATCTTTCCGGCGCTCTACCAACTGAGCTATCCGGCCCCATTTTGTCAATGTTCAGGGGCGCTAGTCAGAAGCCATAAACCTGTATAAATTATGTGCCATGATGTAGCCGGGGATCACGCCCAAATAGCCACAATGCTGGCAATTATTAGCAATGCTGCAAATCTCGAAAATAGCAAAATAGGGATCATTCAGGGAGGTTTGAATGTTCGGTAACAATGCAACCCCCATGCCTTTCAATGAATGCTGTGGTACTACAGACGTATTGATATGAAATAAGAAGAAGAAAAAACACTTCCCATTAAGAAAGCACAAGCAACATTCACGTGAGGCTCATGTTGTTCCAAGTAATAATGTACATTGTGGTCTAATAAAAATGAAGGGGAAAAACCACACCCTCCATACTATGTGTACAAAATGCATGTTGGGTTTTTATTATCTCCATATTCTGACACAGTAATTAAACCAGAAATGCTTTGTCTAAAAGTCAGGCT